TATAACTGCAGGTAAATAGTATAAATAAATGTTTTCTCAATAAACATTGACACATTTGGCAAGTCTTGTGTGCCCAAATTTTTCTCTCCACTTGGCTAGTTGCACAAATAACTATTTCTAATCATACTAATATTATAAATTTGAAAGTTTGTTGTTTGTTTGTTTGAAGTTCAATCACGCAATAACCACTGGACGGATTGGACTGAAATTTGCCATGATAGCTCACATTCCCGATTAACATATAGGTTCTTATCTCAAAAATCCTTTCGGACACCGCCCCAGTGGCTCTGTTGTTTTCCATGTTAACCTTATAAGTATTCATATTTAAAAGGAATTAAAGAATTTAGTCAGCTGTTTCAAAACTATCTACGTTGGTTCTATGATATGCAATAGCATTAAAAAGTGATAAGGTTTTTCCAACAGGGAGCAGCATTAATATTCTTTTTGTATTTATGACAACAGCCAATTTGAACTAAGCAGCAATAAAAAGTTGCGATACTCAATATTAACTGTCAAAGTAGGATTGTTTACAGTTATGTCTATGTTTTTAATATAAAGAATAATTTGTGACATGTGCGAATATTTGATAATTAATTTTTTCTGATTTAGATGCAGCGATAATACATTATGGCTATGGTAGATGTGTTATAGGCCTACTATAGGAAACCATGAATTTAAAGAAACAAATTTAATTTACCAAATTGCGTCCTTCCCCATTACAAAACAAAGCTTGAGTTTAACTGCAATAAGCACTTTTTACTAATTTTCTAACCCCGTACGAAGGACGGGTTCCCTGCTAGTATTCTCTTATATTAATACGTGAGGGCTGTTTTTTGTGAACAAAACTCATCCGTTATTTTTGGACCAATTTTAACGTTTGAGGTGTCAAATAATTTGTCTCAATTCGTAAATTTGCATAAAGGTTTTAGAATTTAAAAACTCTTACCCTTCTAAGCCCGAGACGCCCTTAAAGGTTGCATTTTACCCATAAGAATTACATTGAAAACAAATTTTAACAAAAACAGCTGTATATAAAAAGAAATTTACCAGCTTTTTGGGAGTAATTATTGATGTGTGTAATATTTAGGAGGTTGTATAGGCAAATCTAAACAGTCAATCAGTTTTGTTGGAAGAACAGAAAATTTCTTGAGTTATAATACGTATGAGAAGAGTAGAGGAGAGGCCTGGTCTCACAGTAAGGAATTTAGGTACACAATCACTTGGGGAGATGAATCATTTTTGCCAGTTATGCTAAGCAACTTATTTTGGAAAAAAAACCATGAAGAATATACACATCATGTTGTCACAGTGGTAAAGTAAACCTACCTTAAATCAGATCAAATAAATACATGCAAAAAATGTTTACTGGTAACAGCTTTAAGTCGCGAAACATTTGTAGAAAACACTAAAAAATAAGGCCGGGTCCAAAAAATGCTCAAATATTTTACAAGAAGCGTTTATTATTTCTAAGCGCTATTAAATAGCGTAAGTATTTCAGTTAGTTTACCTAAGCATTTAGTCGGGTCTTTTAACCCTTTCAGTGCTAGGCCAATAATTCATATTTTGTAAGACTTTTTTGTTTGACTTTTAATTCCATTACCTGTTGTTGAATTTTAACTGTCATGTTGTCACTATTTTATTAATTAGGCTAATTTTGAATAATAACACAATAAGAAAATATATAAGAAAGATAAATCCCGCTATTTGTAGTAAACATTAAATAAAACTTAGTTTTTGTTGTAATTTTCCTGGTTTTCCTATAAATTTTTATGTTCTGATAGCATTATTTGAAACCAAAATCTCATAAAATCAAAAGACATATAGTTTACAATGTAATATTGAATTTAACCTTGATTTAGTTGGACGAGGTTATCGTAATATAGCCATTTTAGGGAAACTAATGTTTTGCAGCAAAGTCTCAGGAACACATTTATGATCACTGTTGTGTTTAAACTAAAAGATTGCATCTAAATAGTCCGTGAATAACTGGTGCTGCAACCTAGTAACGCATTGAACAACCATCTGCAGCGCCATCTGTTCGCAATCGGTGGCGACAGCTTAAATACGGGGTTTTGACTCCCCAGTCTTCAAGCACAGATAGCCGAGAAGGCTAGGGTGTGTTAGGGTGTGTGTCACTTGGCCAGTGGCATTCGTCTGCTCGGGTTCGAATCCCGTCCTGTGTGGCAAATAATTGGTGACCTGTGTGTTTGTAGCGATATACTACAACCACTGGGGCATAGTGAGGTGTTCATAATCCTTGGTTTAGACATACACCTCGAAATCATCGGATTGGGCGAATCTTTTAGCTAAGTAGTTGATAGTGTATCCTATGAACATGCAGGTCACCAATGGCCGTTTTGCTATTTTTTGTTAAAATAACCTTCCTCTCTATATCCCTTAGAGATTTTTTAAAACAACGATGTATCGTTTCATAGCACTGAAAGGGTTAAACTCATCGAAAATTTAACTGTTGAATTACTGTAGTTTTAAAATAACTTCTTTATAATATTGGTATATACTTGAAAATTGCTCGAATTCGAGCAACAGGTACACTAGTACAAGTTAATATATAGGTCTAATTCAATTTTTCTTAGCTTCAGATGACTGGTGAGATTCCAATTCGAAGGACTTCAGAAAATGAAGGTAAGTTTTACAAGCTTAATGTGCACAATCCCTTGATCCAGCAGGTTGGAAGAAAAACCTATGTGTATTAAGTTGTACATGCAGAATTTTTAACATAACCCAACATTAACTGCAAAAACATTGATTCTACTAAGGTCTGGAATGTAAATAGTTAGCCCTATGCAGTTCATTTGCTTTTGACTTCTGATATTTAAATTAAAAAAAAAAATTACCAGTAATTTGAGAATTTATAGCTGTAAAAAGTATCCTAACTTATATTGTTCAGTTAAAGCTGGCAGAAATTTGTTGAATTGTTATGACCTAAAATCTTAAAACTAACTTGTCAACATCAGATGTGATATCTAACCTTTAAGGAAAAATATCTGAAAATGTATATGATTTCTCAGCGACCCCTAGACCGAGACGTATTATAAGACGTGACAGTTCCATACAGCATAGTACAGACTTCCGCCTGGCCTTGGAAGCAGTGAGATGTGGAGAATTGGGATTCTGTAAGGCAGCTAAAACGTTCAAAGTTAACAACCGTACTTTGTGGTTGGAATACAAAAAGCGAGGATACCCACCAAAAAGACCTCAACCTGAAGGGTTACGGAGGAAACAAGCTGGAGAGCTGGATTACTACAACTGGGATTCAGATTCTTCGTAAGTGCCCAAACCTAGAAATCTCAGAATGGTTTTTTACAATATTATTAAGTTTGCTAAACTGTTACTTTAAGAGGACATTTTTGTTAAATGAGCTTCATGTTCATAGATTTGCTAGTGAAACTTAGGATTTAGTGAAAACTGGATTATTTCGCAACTTGAGATGGTGTCCAGGATGAAGTATTTTTCAGAAAAGTCACATTTGTTGTTTTAAGTCATGAGCCTAATTTAGGCTGTATACATTCTGAAAAAAGTTAGGTCAACTGTCACTAGTATAAAGTTAATTATTAAATAAAAAAGTAATTATTACAATAGTTCAAAGAGAGGCTATTTTTGGTATGCTGATTCATTGTTTGCTATTGTAGTATTGTAGTGCATTATGGATCTACCGGTACTAAAAAAACCAGACACACAGTATAAAATATATAGGTTTAGTTAGCACTTCGAAAAACTGCTACAAAATAATTTATATTATTCAGAGATAATTTGACCCATAAAAGTTGTTAGCCTACCATAGCTTTGAACGTATAAGGTGATTGTCCAATACACACTACACAACATTTTGGGTTGCTCTTTTGAATACCGCATTCAGTTGTCTTGTTTTTGTGCTGAGTAATATTGTTAATGTTACTGCATAGGTTAGACTTATAACATTACAAATATTCAAGACGTTTATTAAAAGAAACAATATTATCTTGATGGTTTAATTTAAGTTTTTGTTTTTTTTTTTGTTATTTCCAGAATGCAGTAAGCCCTATTTATAACAGTACAAAGAAAGTGCCTTTCAATTTATAGTACCTTTTCTAGCTAGTTATAACTTGTTCAAAAAGTGTTTTCAATGAATTTTCACATGTATCTAATTTCAGTAAATACAATACATGTAATTTGTATTTTTCTTCAGACATTTTGCTAATACTCAATCAGCTTATTGAAGAGTGGAATTGTATTATCATTAATGTTTTTTGCAATTAAAATAGTGTTCAGTATTGTAATAGTATAAGTTATACTCTACTTATTTGTTACCGTTTACGGTACCGGTATACTAGTTGTTATTGTTTAAAGTTAAGTTTTTGTACATTTTCAATAGATAAGTTTCACATAATGTTTGTGATATTACATGGATCAATACAGTTTACTCATAATTTTTGTTTTTTTGTTATTTCTATAATGCAGTAAGCCCTATTTATAACGGTACAAAGAAAGTGCCTTTCAATTTATAGTACCTTTTCTAGCTAGTTATAACTTGTTCAAAAAGTGTTTTCAATGAATTTTCACATGTATCTAATTTCAGTAAATACAATACATGTAATTTGTATTTTTCTTCAGACATTTTGCTAATACTAAATGTATACATTTACTATATTTCACAATCAGCTTATTGAAGAGTGGAATTGTATTATCATTAATGTTTTTTGCAATTAAAATAGTATTGAGTTCAGTATTGTAATAGCATAAGTTATACTCTACTTATTTGTTATCGTTTATACTAGTTGTTATTGTTTAAAGTTAAGTTTTTGTACATTTTCAATAGATAAGTTTCACAAAATGTTTGCGATATTACATGGATCAATACAGTTTATTCATAATTTTTGGAGTGTGTGTATATTTTATAGCCTAAACTCCTTCAACACTCAAGGTTCAAAGTAACTCGTCTAAGGTTTAGGAATAGAAATGTATTTGTGAAATGCAAGGTTTTAGAAAGGAAAAACAGACTGTAAATTGATAAAAATATTTATGTACAGAAATATTTACATAGGTACATTACATCAGTTGTAAGATTTACACAAATATAACATCATGGGCTGTCAAAACCGTTCGTTTTAAGTTTTGGTTTTCTTTTTAGTTTTCCCTTTTTAGCCCCTTCTATCTTGCGTTTCTTTTGCTCCTTCTTCTTCAATTGTTTGCTGATTTTCCGTTTGGCAGCTTTTTCGGGTTCACGGACAGCCTATTACAGAGGTAAACATTATTAACACTTACACTGTTTGAAGAAAACCTGGAGTCTTAATATGATTCTTGAGACGCCACAATGGTGGTATTTAAATTGCTTGTAGTGTTTTAGAATAACATATTTTGGTGGTTTATAGGACAAATTCTAGAAAATACTTAAAATGCATGCAGTCAGTGGCAAACTATCCTTGTCCTTTTAAGCACTGTGACAAATGTGTAGTATTATACATACAACTTATGGAGAATTAATTTATTTTTTGAATGATAGTTGAAGACTAAAAGCATTTCTCCATCATTACAGGAGTTCACGGCTAAATGATAAACGATAAACAATCATTAAGGGGGATAAGGTTTCCAGGTTTGTAGTATCAAACAGGCTTCAATTCCAACTGATGTAAATGCACTTTCTCATCACATTATCCTTGAAACACTTTAGTCTGCTAGTTATTATCTTAGTTTGAACTGTTTATAGTAGTTTCCAACACCAGGAAGCTCAAGTATGGTAAGAGCCTAAATCAGCCATCATAGCAATGTGCCTTACATACCAGAAATAATTTAGAGTCACTTCATTAAAATTGCCCTTTATAAGCATTACTACTAGCTCCACCGCATTAGAGCATCATCCCACCAAAACACGGAGCAGTAATAACTTGAGTTACAATCTGGGTTTAGCTTGAATTTTGATTGATGTTTCTACAATTAAAAGACTGATAAGAAAATAATTTTAGAAGTCATTACCAGTTGAGCTCTTTCCTTCTTTCGTTCTGCCTTTTGAATTTGCAGTTTTGTCGTCAATGAGTTGAGAAGTCTGTTGTATTCCTCAGATCCGACTTTCTTCTTCACAATGTTGGCGGTTTCCTTTGCTGCCTCTTTCAGAGACTTCTTGTCCTCCTCGTCAGGGATGTGCAGCTCTCGTACGATGGGTGACATTATCAGAGGCAGGTGAGGTTTCCAAGCATCAGGGGCCAACTTGACCACCAACGCTGCCAGCCAATTGTAGCACATGGTGCGCTGAACATTGCAAAATCAAACTTAATACTATAAAAACTACTTTTTTGCAACACTACGTTGAAATGACTTGTTTTCGTTACATGTTTATCACCTACGAAAATTCTTCATTACATTGTTTACCACGGCAAAAGAATGTTTACTATGCAAAAGTAACGTTTACTATCTTTTTTGGAATTTGACGTTCTAGTTTTCAACAACCGAAGGCAATATTAAATGTTATTGACACTATAACCTGAAAAATGCTATTAGTTTTGTAATGTTCAACAAAATAATTAGTCGTTGTAGTGTAGCGAAAAGTAGATAAATAACGTCTTTATTTATCCAGCGTACATCAGGTACAAAGTTCGGTTTTACATGCAAACTTTTGTCGTATACAAGTAATTCAAATTAAATTAAGAAAATTAAAAAGCAACATTCTTAAAAAAATAAAAACTAATAAAAAAGGAGCATATCTTTAACACTCTTCTTAAATGCCATTATACCTTTTTTTTACCTCTGATCTGATGGTAAAGCATTGTAAACCAGGGGTCCAAAGTAGAAAAGGGCCTTTTTACCCGAATCAGTTCTGACCCGCTGCAACAAGCCTTCGTGACGAGTACTGCGCTCACAGACCTCAGATCTTCGTACCAACTTGGTATTCAGATACTGAGGCTGGTTTGTCAGCAGCGTCTTGTGAACCAAAATTTATGTTTGGAGATAAGAGATTTGCTGTATGGATAGTGCTTTCAATCTGAATTCACTAATATGGTCAAATTTCTTCAAATTATAAACAAACCTCAGTGTATTATTCTAGAGGTCAGTATTTTGATTTTTTCTTTTGTTAAACAACCAGAAAAGGTAGAGAGGCAGTAATAGATGGATGAACCACTGCTTGCAACTATTTGAAGTTTTGCTGAAGTAGGCAATATGAACCTCAACCTGTGTAACCGTCTCAACTTGCCAACAGCAACACGACAGATACGGCTCATTTGCTCAGAAAATTTAATAGTCATCCAGATGGACACCAAGGACTCTTAACGAAGAACAAAGTGATAAAGGCGTATCATCTAAAGAAATCATCATACTACTCCTATTAGGACTCAGTCCGCCCTGCAGAGAAGAATTACTGACATGCAAAACTGAGCACTTATCAGGATTTAGTTGCAGTCCATGATCATCAGACCATTGCTTAATCACACTCAGATCGTAATTCACATTCCTGATCGTGTCAAGGAGATTCGAAAATGGAAAGGAAGCAATACAATGTGTGTCATCTGCATATGAATGAATAGCACAATACCTCAATTGACTCCCAAGGTCAGAAGTGTAAATCAAGAAAAGGATCGGCCCTAGGCATCTACCTTGCGGAACACCTCTAATCTTTGGCAAAAAGTCTGAAGCTTTCAGATCAACCTTAGTCTATTGGGACCTATTGTTTAGGTAAGAGGAAACCCAGGATACAGAGGTTACATCAAATCGGTAAAACCAAAGTTTAGCGAGCAGAAGATCAAAATCCACCGAATCAAAAGCTTGTGAATAATGCAAACCAGTGACAAAACTGGTTTGGTAACGTTCAAAACACAAGTAAAAGCAGGTCTATACATATTCTCTATATATATTAAAATTTTTAAAAACATGGTCTCAAATATGTAATGACTCACTTTCTACTCTTGTTATGAAATATACTATTAATAGATTTTTTAAATCATGAGGTGACAATATTGCCTGTAAGTTTCAGACATGGCAGAGAGGAAAAGTGCATGTACAGTAGTATCAAAAATTAATAACGTATGAATGAATAATAGTATATTACGTTACTAGTTCTGAAAATAAGTGTTTAACGGACGAGTGACGTACGATAGTTTATACCATACTAAATCTGACTAACAATCACTAACTAATGTAAATATTGGAGAACTATCAAGAACTAACAAAGAACTTAACGATTGGTATATAGATGTAAGGCTTTTAGTCAGGAAACGGTGCCCACTGGAAATTGTATAATTGTGAAGTTAGCGTACCCACTTTGTATGCCTCATAACTTTTTTATTTTTTGAGAACTAACAAAAATATTGGAGAACTATCAAGAACTAACAATTGGTATATAGATATAAGCATTTTTAGTCAGAAAACTGTGCCCGCTGGAAATTGTATAATTGTGAAGTTAGCGTACCCTCTTGGTATGCCTCGTAACCTTTTTATTTTTTGAGAACTAACGAAAATATTGGAGAACTATCGAGGGCTAACGATTCATATAGATGTAAACATTTCTCATCAGAAAACGGCGCGTGCTAGAAACCGGAAGTGTGAAGTTAGCGTACCCACTTATTATCGGCTATAACTTTTTTTTTGAGAACTATACGCTAATAGTGTGGATACACTAATATGGGTACGCCAACTTCACAGACCTTGTATAGTAACAGGTGAAAAGTAGTTCATCCAGCTTTATTCATTGAATGATATTTACTACAATCCAGCTTTATTCATTGAATGATGACATTTACTACAAATAGGCCAGTGGCTTATATGTTTGTTGTATGAACGGTCAGGAGTTCATGTTTGAAATCCCATTTTTAGTCTTTCCTTGTCTACCATCCAAGGACTAGACTTACGAGATAATATTTTAAGGTTTCAACTATGCTAGATTAAATTAATATTGGCCAATAAATACAGTAAGTATTTTTTCAAACAAAATGTTCACGTTAAGGTCCAACTCTTATTTGAACAAGTCCCAGGCACATATCAATAATGTGCCTACACTGTCTTTATACCAAGCACTTGTTCCCCATCATTTTCATTCAACCCTTAATATCCTTGGGACTAAGTTTACATTGTGTCAAGAAATGCTGGAAAAGAATAGTAATATAAGAATAATAAATGCTGCGGACAAGACTTTTTATTAGGCTTAAACAGCAAGTATTCCAAAATTCATTGTTTTTGTCCTGTACCAAATAATGAATTAATAAACCTGAAAACTATGAAAAGTTGATATGTAGGCCTACCTACTTTTAAAGGTTATGAGTACTTATGAGAACGATTTGGTTTTAAATATGGACCTAAACATCCAGTTGATAATTCCATGGTATTTTTACTTTTGAATTCTAGTTTGGTTATTAAATTATGACTAGCACCAACACTTATGCCGAGCAGGCATAAAGAAGTTCTGCCTTAAAGGGTTGTATATCATTACTTTGAATAATTTTTACTGAAATGGAGACCATACTAAGGTATATATAACAATCTTAAAGGCACAAACCAAGACTTAGCACTAATCCAACAAGATTATTAAAATATAGAAAGTTTTTAAGGTTTACACACCTAAATATGAAAAATTACATTAGACTTGCACAACCTTAAATTTAAGGAAACCAACAGAGAATTACAAACTAATAATTTGTATGTACAAATGAAATAACTTACCAGAATTGTGAAGTTTGGTGCATGAACAACCTCTGAGTGTATGACTTTCCTGATTCTTCGTACAAGCCACTGCAATGTTAAGGGTTGAGCTGCATTGTCATTGTGAACATGTTGGACCACTTCAGCCAGAAAAATCAAATTCTTCATTGTCTACAAATAAAAGGAAAACGTTGAAATTGAAGGAGTGATGAGACAAGGAAACAAAGAACAGTAGTTGCATGAACCACTCACTGGGTAGTCTAAAAATAAAATAACATTTCCTCTGTTAGTTTTTGTTAATGTTATTGTAATCAATCAATCATTAGACAATGAGAAGATGCACCAGTAGGTACATTTAATTCCATGTTAAAAACATTTTGTTAAACTAGAACCTGGGAAAACTGAAGCCTTATCTAAATAAGTTGGGAAAGTAATTGGGTAATAGGAACTGTTTACGGTGGTGCACAATAGGGTGGGCTCGGCCAACGGAATGTAACGGAGCAGATGATGACACATCTTATACCATGTTTAAGATGAGGTACAGTCAAACCTCTATAAGACAAATTCCAAGGGGTGGGGGAAAAATTAGTATTAAATTATCGAGGTATTCTTAATAAAGAGTTTAGTTTTATCGAGGTTTAATACTGCTGTTATTCGTCTTAATCGTCTCATAGATATTTCTCCTCGTTCTGATATAACGTCTATGGAATAAGATTTTTATGGGCAAACTCTGAATCATTGTTATTGCTACTAAAGCTATTTTTAAATGTATTATTTTTTCAATCATTGTTGGAGAGATGTTAAACTCCTTAGCGATGGTGATTTTCTTCTTCATTGGGTTTTCTTCCATATGCTTCAAAACATTACGCTTAACCTCTACTGTTAGCGCTGTTTTTTACTTTTTCCCTGCCATTCCTTTACACTTAAGATACGCACAACTCTAAAACAAGGGAAAACACAGCCGGAATGGTTACTGGACACTGCACAGTGCACAGGCACCTGCCAAACAATGACTAAGGAAGGAAGAGGGATGGGTGGGGGTTTCATGTTGAGACAAACTTCTGTTTGTTTTGAAAACTACGTACTATGGAGGTTAAGATCATGAGAAATACGTCTTATAGAGGTCGCATTTGTCTTATACAGGTTTTGTGCTAAAAATTACTATTCTAAAACTGTCAACAACTAAGACAGAAGTGGGATGTCTAGTTCTATCAATAGACAGTGTAATGACCTGCATGAGCAGTTTCTCGTTGAGTTCAATGCCAGGAGTGAACTGAGAGCAGAGGTCCAGTATGAGACTCTTGAGAGTGTTGCGTGTGTCACAGCGAAGGTAGCCGAACCCTCTCTCTTGCTGCGGAGAGTTGGCCAGCTCGGCCACCTGGGTAGGTGTCATCACACTCAACACCTTGCCTATGAACTGAGATGCCGCCAGTCTCACCCACTCGTGAGGATAGGCCAGCAGCGTCTGTGCACCTTCTGCAACATAGGAGAGCAATTATGTCTCGCAACACAATAGCACAGTATTGTGACTTGGCGGTTTTGCAATTCATGAAATTAAATAAGGTTGCTACAAAGTCTTAAGTTGGGCAAAAATTTATTGTGGAAAAAATACTCCAAGCTTACCAAGAACTGTAGCAAATTATCACGATGCTGCGGAAGTGTTTGCTAGTATTCGCTTGGATAAAATGAACAAGTTGCTTCTATTCAAAAGGCATTTAATGGCATGATTTATAGTTAGGCCAAAATATTTTATTTAAGTTCACATGAGTAAGCGTAATAAATTTGAGCTTCAATAATATATTTCATTACTAGGACCGAAAGTGGCATTTTCCGGCGCGCGCTCAAGTTTTTGTGTGAGGCGAAGCCTCACACAGGGAAGCCCAATTTTAAGAGCTATTTTCACGTACGAGGCGAAGCCAAGGACGGGAATAATGGAGCAAGTGCCGGATAATAACTTTCGGTACGAGTTATGAACGATACTTTTCATCACGACGCAAAAATACACAAACACAGAATAGCAGACCTCAGTAATATTACAATAATTATCTATCAAACAATTTGTTTAAACATAAAAATGAAATAAAATATTCTAAAGGAAACCTTCCTATATTTCTCAATACTTCAAACATCAAAATAAAAGATTAAAACAACTTTGAACAATACATACAGCGGATTTAAATCATTAAATTAAACCGTAACAAAACACTAGCGCGCGTAGTGAATAAATGGAAAACTAATTGAGAGCGAGGGAAAATCAGCTGATCGATTTTCCCTCACCCTAAATTAGAGCTAGGGAAACGGCTACTTTCATTGATGTCGGCTGTTATCGAAAATAGTTACTTTCGGTGAGGAGTGATGAAAAAGCATTAATTTTTACATAATTACTGCAATATACATAGAACACAAATAAATATACCAATCAATAATAAAATCTTTGAAGTCTATCCATACAAAATCTAATTTGTGAATTAAAACAAACTAAAAGTGCATTAGCACAAAAGACAAGTCATCTTTTGCAATAGCCTGAGTATTCTTTATCACATGGTTAATTCTAATGCTGATGCTATGCTCATATTGATATAGTATAGGCTAAATATAATTCACCCTTCGGGACTAAATTTTGTCTGGCTTTTAAATCCTTGTGACAAAACGACAAAACAAATATGGGAGCTTACTTTTGAATTCAAATACAGTTATTTGATCAATAATAATAATATTGGATCAATACGTTGTTGCATAAAAATTCATCTATAATTCAGTGTGAAAATAAATACTTGATATTGAGAGGAATAATAGATGTTTAGTAAGCATTCAACAACAATAGTCTGAACGCAAAAACTATTACACATTCTTCTCCTTTTTATCCTAATTATCTAATTTTTTGTAAAAATAAATTTGTTACCTGCTAAAATTTGAGTATTTTTCATATTGGTCTGATCAGTCAACATGGAAGGACATAAAGAACTTAGTTTTACAATCAAATGCAACAATTGATACAAGTGATGGTCCTTCAGCTGTTCTTTGATATTAAATTTTTCAACATCTGTTTTTGCGTGAGGTTTGAACTCCTTGATTTCCACTTTCATCAGCTCCACTATGAGAGGAAGAACTTTATCAATTCGTTGGTCAAAGCCAGTTTTCTCCTGTGATGCGAAAAGCCCACAAAGCTGAACTGCAAGTCGGCGATGAAGCAGCTAAAAAAATGTTGTAAAATAAAAAAAAATTCAAAGAACATGTTTGAAAATAAAAAAATAGATTATGTAAAACATGTTATCAGTATTCTATACTTTTAATACATTACTTTTAAGTTTTAAAACTGAAATGGCGACCATTCGAAGGTAGGTATTTGAAGCCAAGTATGAACACAGATGAATGTAGGACGAGTGGCACGATCTTGTAGTTTTGTTACTGACTAAGGCTGACATGTTCCTTAGACAGGAATGTTACTTAATAGCCCCTACAGCCAATGGTAACTAAGAAACCTACAGTTTATAGTGGAATCCGAACAAATTTTAACTTGTAATTTACAAATTGGTCTAATTATCGATTGTACTGCGGATAGTCATAGTAGGCCTACTCACTAGTGCAGACTAATCCACACCAAGGAGTATCACATCCACAGATCATCCCTAAATATCCACTATTCGTGACCTCAAAGTAGCTGGATTACAGGACGACGCCATGGTCCCAGTCTAAATATATTTTAACTTCTAGATGGTCCACAATTTTGTTTGTAAGATGAAATTGACAATAAATACTTTACAAAGACAAATTTTTAAGTAATTCTTATGTATGATTAGTTTTTATTCATTTAATGAACAGGCCACTGCAAGTGTGCAATAAGTGTGTAATTCGTAAGGACACTTATGTCGAATGTACGATCCCCTATTTACAAAATGGCATTAGACAGCTAGGAAGTTATCCAACTTAATATGTCAACAGTTGGCCTCTACAAGAAGGTCAACAGTTGAAGTCTACGCCTACATCTGCTATCACAACTGTATCTTAATATTATTATGTTTTAATAAACATATAATTCAATAATCCAGCAGCTTGCTGCTGAAAACAACGGGATTTGTCTTACCCATACATGTTCTGATTTGGCTGGACTTTGAAAGTGACATAATGTCCAAAGACTGAAAATCAGTTGAACTTGAACAAGACTAAAATCAACATCTACCGTCTGATCATACCATAGACAAAAAGAATTAAATTTAGACTGTCAGCCGTGCAGTGGTTACCATAGGTTCTGGCGCACGCCGCTGAGAGCGCCATGTAGTTACTTAGCGTAGGCCGTAACTACATGGCGCTCCCAGTGGTGTGTGCCAGAACTTATGGTAACTGCAGCACAGCTGACGGTCTATATTTAATTCTTTTTGTCTATGATCATACTCACATGGGGGTCTTAAAACCAACTAAATCATGTACCTTTTTATCTTGCATCCACAGAAGTACGATATCAAACAAGCTTTCCCTCACGTTGTTATTGACCTTCTCGAGCAAAAGTGTGACAATGTCTGCGGCCATCTTGCGACACACTGGCACATCATCATTGACTAGTCTTGCAGCCACGGTCACAAAAATAAACCCACTCTGTTCCTTCAAAATATCCTGGAAAATATAGGGTGTGAAAAAAACTGTGTTGGAAAAGAATAATAATGAGTTGTGATTTTGTTTTTACTTGGAAATTTAAATATTGACTAATATAGATTTGGCGGTATGCTATTATCGCTCACCCAGCCCAATAAATAAATTCATTTGTTTAGCTTCATTGGGGCACATGATGCAAAGACAAAATTGAGAATACCTTTGACATGAATTCATGTCCTGAATTAAAATTAATGGCAATAAAAATAAAACATATCCTGAAAACATTAATGACATTTATAGTACCGGTAATCATAATTTTATTAATTACTGGTTCCAAGATCAATTTACTCACTGCAGGTAAGGTAATTATAAGAGTTTTGATCATTTCCAAAGCACTTTCTCTTCCTGGTTGAAGTTCATACTCCAACTGTTGCAAATACCACGTCAGATGTTTTTCAAATTTCTTCCCCAGAGCGTATTCCATAAGATACTGATGGAAAACCTAAAAAAGTGATAAAATAGACAAAGGTTGACGTGACTTCTAACCATAGATCATTCTGCTGTAAAATAATGATTTTCAACAAAAATTATCAAAATTGTCAAATTTGACAACCCATTTTTTTTACTTTCTCTACCTATACACAGTACAGTAGACCCCCTCTCAACCGACCTCGTATTAACCGATAATCGGATTATCCGCCTTACATTGTAAGATAATACAGTTTGTTTTAACCGACCTTGCTTTGAGATCAGTTCGGCTTAACTGCCGCTTTCTAGGAATCTCGGCATTTCCGCTCCCACGCTGGGCGGTGAGAACTGAACCTTACGCTTATCTCCACAGGATATGACTAAGAATAAGTTATTTTGTATTGATCACAAAAAATATAGCATAGGTATTGTCAGTTTGTCATCATCATTCCTAGCGCACATCCTGATCTGATTTGTTATCATTGCGGCAAATTTATAACATCGTAAAGTGCGTTACGATTTTGAGAACTGATTATCTTATCGCTGGAGTAAACAAACAATGCAACTTGTAGGGAGGGCAGGGAAGGGGGGTTAACAACTCCAAGGTCAAGATAGTTTTTGTGCCTCGAGCCTCCAGTGAGAGGCTATAAATAAACATCCTGTCTTTTAACAAAATGGTTGCTTGTATCTTTAATTTTGACAAAAGGTTTTGTACTTTATTACGATGGATTTGGAAAGCATAAATTAATACATAGTACAGTTATTAAAATAGGAATTTTTATTGGCTCTTGCCTAGTACTATAATATATTCCACTGAAAGTAGGCCTATTTGACTTAACCGTGTTTTGTGTTTATTTGTGACTTTTATATCAATACGAGAAAGGAGATAAAAGTAGTTTATTTTATAAATAATGCAAGTATGACTTCAAAATAATGATTATAGGTATAATTCCAAATGAATAGCACTTCATTATGTTATGATTTTAGGGATTCCCCATTTTAAACGACCTTTTGAGTTATCCAACCTAGGTCTGGTCTGGTCCCATTAGGGTCGGTTAAGAGGGGGTCTACTGTATATGGAGAAAGTACTGTTCTCTTCTAAATTCCATATACAGTACAAGTACTACAGTATAAAATAGAGATTCTACTATAGTGAAGAAATTATTAGAACTCATACTTCGACCGCGATTTTACTGCATAAACTAGAATTATTATCACTAATGGGGACTAGCTAGTCTTGTTTTTCGTAGTTAGGGCACAGGACTTCTGTCTGGAAGGTGGATATTCGATTCCCACCAATCAACAGTTTTAGATATGTGAGTTTTGTATGTGACTTGATGGATCTAACCCCATCTAAGTAAAACTTTTTTAGACAAGAACTGTTTCTTTATTTGAGATATTCCTTTACAAACTTCATTCCATATGTTAACTTGTAAGGAACCATAATGTTTTTAGACATTTAGATTGATTTTGCACACCTGTCTAGCTTGTAGGCGAATATGTTCGATGTCCGCTGTTATGCTGATTTTGGCCACTTTTTCCATCACTGAATTTAGTTCAGGGAGCCGAAGTTTTCGGCCCAAGATGGCTTTTAAAAGAGAAAACGCGATAGTTTGACGAGAGTAGTCGTGGATGTCTTGTTCACAGTACAGCAGTAACGTCCTCTGTTGCTGAGGTGATAGTTGATGGTGCTTAACATCTCTGACTATAACTGCCACAACCTGAAGCATTTTGGTTATTTTGAACTTGAATGGGATTCATGTGTACATGTAAAATTATAAAATCACAAAAAAAATGTTTTGCCTAGTAAGTATTCAACAATTTTGTAAAGATGCAACAATTACAACCTAACTATTTAAATTCTAAAGTTAGCTCCATGTTGACTCAAGTATGAAATAGAATCCCCTGAGCAAGATAAAAATGTTATAAATTGTACAAAAGTTTGAACTATTAAAAGTGCTCTTATCTCTAGATAATTTGCAAATAGTATTTCAACCTTTGAATCAATAGTATTAATTAATTAACTAATGCTGCACTAATGGCATATTATCCACGTTAAACTTTAAAATTATTAATCAACCATAATCTGGCTTGGACCTCGAAACCCAGGATCCTGGTGGTTTTTCAATACCCCAAAGATACCCCAAGATTGGTGTCTTTAATTCCTTGGAGATTGCAGAACTGACAGTAAAATACTTTGCATTATTATCTTTATATTGGGCAAAATATGTTAATGCCAGATACTATTACACCTTCTATAAAATTTCAAAAATTACTTAATCTGGCAAATTTTACCTTGAAAGCCGCCATGACTAGATCAAAGTTATCTCCCTTACTGAGTCCAGCGGCCGCGTACTTGTGCAGCAGTTTGAACACACTGTCAGTTATATCTTCTAACTTTGTCTTTAAGGTGGGCAGATCAAACTTGACAACCCAACAGAGGCATTGCAGTGATATTGATGTGATCTGGAACAAGATTTAGATATGAAAAAGTCTTGTGGTCCTTGAGCCAAAACATTCCCATTCTGTACTTTTTTCAGTTTCGTAAATTCTTGCCTAATGTCACAAAAGTATGTAAGCTTTAGAGCAGAAATGTTCTAAACAGCAGGGTTTCAATTTATTCTTGCAAACCCTTTGGCAAAACCAGGAAAACCAAATCAATGAATATACCTAGTTTTAAAGGATTTCAAGTATATTTATTATTTATTTAGGATACGGTACATTAAGAGATAACTAGAATTCGTATTCTAATTTATAAAAGTAGAAAATTTCATTATTTTTCTTGGATCAATCTGATGGTCAACATATCACACTAACCATGTATTTAACGATACAATTCATCCAGGTATCGATAAATAACCTGAAGTTCCAGACTGAAGTTTTTATTATGATTTGAAAAAGAGCAGGCACCAGCACTCATTTTCAGTAACCCAAGTCGTTTCTGACTTTTTACGTTGACACCACTGTGTTCTACATCTCTGAGACTGACATAGTAGTTGGTGATCACAAAATGAAAATACCGTATTTAGATAATTTTGCCCTCAGTTACTGTTAAAAATATTAAAGACAGACAAGACAAAAATTAATAGGACTTGACAAAAGATGTGTATTTTAATTTATTTGGACACTGTTTACAAAATTCATAATAATTAATAAAACATATGTTAGTTAGAAAGAAGGCAGGCATGGATTAGGCATAGATTATTACAGTTACCTTGACATGTTCAGACTTGAGGCAATCTGACAAAACCTTAACCAACGGATCCAAGTGTGGCCTGTAATCTGCTCCTTTGATTTTCTCTCGTTTCAACAGAAAGTAGTAGAGCAGCAGTCCAAACTCCACAAAAATGTGAGCGTTAGTGTGGACGCAATGCTTGGTTTGTGCACTAGGCCGGCTTTTAGGCTCTGAAAGAAATGTTTCATAAGTAAAGTTATTTATGTCCCGTCCATAAAATAAAACAGGATGATAAATAACATGCAAATAACAATAAGGTAACAAAGAACAAAAAATTACACGGAAAAAATGTTTGTTGTTACAAAAAAATTGTTTTATACCGGTAGTTAATTTTTAATTTTAACCTTGCATTTGTCTCTCATTAACCTGTCCATTCAACCTGGGTCTCAGGCCTATTATGTGGAATGTATGAAGCAAATCAAGGGGTGAGCTGATACTGATAAATTTCAAAAATATACTGTAATGAACTCTGAAGTGATAAATATTAGTGGTACAACTGGGGCACAAGCCCATAACATTGCCACTGCTTCGGATTCAGAATCTTCTGGGCAACCAAGACACCAATATCCAAACATTTGTCCACGAACGCATATTTAAGGTAAAAATTAGATAGATCTTTCATATTAACAATTTTGTGTTGCCGAAATATTTTTATGTAACCTCTAAAAACATATTTTTTTCTATCTGTAGGACAGACTGTAATCAGTATAAGCTTGCTAAACCATTTATAAATCTAATCTGAGAGATAACGTAAATATTTCCATAGCACTGTTTTATTTACATAAATCTAGAACATAAGTTACATGCATGTATCACAGATTGTATCTTGTTTCGGACACAGAGAGCAGCATGTATTGTGTTTTTACCAAAAAGAACTGGACTGAATACCTGTTATTACAGTATTATTATATTTGGGTGTTATATGTTGAAAAAGCATTGTTCACAACATTTACTGGGCACTTTAGCAACGTAGTCTCAGTGTTGATTTGATTTTTAACAGAATAATGGATCACCAACACACGATTGAAACTACTCACCACTTGGAATCAGAAATACGTCTTTCCTCTCTTCCAGGAGATTTGTCTTTGGTTTGTCAGCCTTCTGGTCCTTCTTGAGGTTGGAAAACAACGCTGGGACACTCTCAGACGATGTTCCGTAGGCAAAGATCAACAGTGACTCTGTTGTAACAAACTTGTTGTCCACCAAACCTAGTACAATGTGTCTCAAGCATTCTCTAGCTTTGTTGACGGACTTGTGAGACAGGGTACGGCTTACCTCCTGCAACAATTCATCAACTCAAAACCACATTTAACTACAATAGATGCAAAAGTGATTAAAATGATGATAGAAATTTTACAGTTTTAGAGTACTCCTTGCAAATCACAGGGTGTCTACTACAATCTGGATAAAAAATTCATGGACAATTCCCGTACATTTAAGGACACTTTGCCGTAACCTTTATCGGTGTCATTAGGCCTACCGAATAATTTTCCTGATTTGTCAAACTGTATTAATCTTGTTATTCACTGTAGTTGTACCAGAGAGAAAAGTAAATAATAATAGATAAGAGTTAAAAATTTCAAAATAGAAATTTATTGAAAGTAAACAAACATAGGCCTACCTATACTTTAGGTATAGCTTTTATGGTGTAACAGAGAAACGCAATCATTGTCTCCTGCGATAGCGACAAATATCTTCATCGGTCACGTAAACTTCATAACATAGCTTATCCGATACAGGCGGATTAATTTGGCATGATTTGCCCTGGCACAACGTTAGGTTCTCGACTACTTTTGAAAAAAAAATCTTTAATGCATATTGTTACTCAGTTCTTAGTACAAAATCAAGGTATGGTAAGCGGCTACCGATAAGCAATAAGCACAGAGTAAGATTATTGTATTTTCATTTGCAAAGTTAATATTGACACATAGCAATCATTAGTGGTTTATCTTAGGCTCAATTACATTTTCTTAATATATTTTACAGCTCTTTCAAGAATCAAAATACCCAGGCCTAGACCTAATTATTTAGGAGGGCCTATATAAACTGAGTAACAAACAATGAGGTTATAATAGCAGCAAAGTCATCATTCTAGTTCATAAGATTTAGATTGCTTAAAGCATACAACTCAATAAATAAATATATGGGAAACAAAAAACATTGAAACCTGAATAGCCAACAATATAAGACAAAGATACAGAAAATGCAATGACATAATTTGAAACCAAGCAGGCCTACATACTGTAGTGATAAAACATTAATGCAAACAACAATGCTTGTGGTTTTGTCAATTGAAAGATAAAATATCCATAAAAAAGGTTAACTCACAAAATAAGACTGTAGATTATTTACATGTTTAATATGAAACCATAAGCAGTTTTATGGCACTAGGCAATGGCCGCGGCAAATTGAGCCGAAAGTACAAGTAAGAAGTGAAATTTAACAGCCATTATAAAGCTATTATTTTCACGATAAAATAGGTTTGGGATCTAATAATAATTACCCTAGTAATAAAAAAAGAAGTTGTAAAGGAATAAAAGTGATACAACTTTTATGAGCTAGCTGCTGAGTCAACAGTTCTTGGAAGTACTTGACTTGACACTTGATTGTCGTGATAAAATATTAATGGGTTTGAGATTGCTAATGGGATTTTTATTGCATAATTACTCTAGTAATAAATTATGAAAATGTAAACAAACATCTGATAAACCTTTTATGAGCTCCTAACCAACCAGCGATCAATAATTATGGCCCATTAAAAATTTAAGGACATAGTCTGGCATTTAAGGACAATTCCCGTACATTTCATGGCCAGTAAAAAATTAAGTACAATTCCCGGTTTTCCCGGATTTCCCGGTTGGTAGACACCCTGAAATCAGTTCCGGGCCTCACCAACCAGTTGCCCCAAAAAAACTTCTGTTTTCTGAGACTCCAATCAACGAGATGTTGAGACCAACATAACATAATTTTTGCACGATTTTTACTACCTCATCCTTAATAATTCCCAATGGGTGTCTTCCTTCTGGCCAGTCTCTGCTCTCATCTTATCATTAACACTTACCACAACGCACAATTATCTCTCATATTACTTATATCTGCCATATCTGGTCTTTAGTAAAGGTTCCTGAGGTTTTTTTTTGTCCCAATATTATAAAGTTAGTTGTAATTAAGTTATATTGAATGAATCACCCTAAAACTGCAGCTTAATAGCTATTTAAAATAACTTTACTCTTCCAAATTTGAAAAGAACTTTTTGACCACAAACACAACTCAATAACCAACCTCTTTCAAAGGAACAATCAAGTTTATAAGACTCTTCTGTGACACAAACTCCGCCAGAATGTGGTACATGTCGTAGCTGCGGTTTGCTCGAGCCTCCATCAGGTTACCAGCGATCTGCTTCACTTCTTTCTCTTCTGCAGTCTTCCCAAACAGATCTGTCCTACAAGCCTGCAATCAAGAGTTACAATGAGTTGCGCTCAGAGATAATAGATTTAGTAACAAGTCTTAAAAATAAATAAGAAGCAGTAAACTTGCTATGATTGCCGAATTTTACCTTTATTACAGTAACAAAAAAGTATCCAAATAAGGGCACATTATGCATCTAAAGACCCTATTTTACACTCAGAATCATTTGACTCGTCACATGCTTCCTAAATATTCATTAATTCCTTTTAAATATGAAAAATCATAAGATTAACATGAGAAACTCCAGAGCCACTGGGGCAGAGCCCGAAAGCCCGATCAGGATAAAAACTACTTAGTTTTCTTATTTAATGCCCAAAGAATCGGTGTACCGAATTTCAGCCTCCTAGGTAAATGGGAGGTGGGAGAATTAGTGTTGAGTGAGTGAGTCAGTGAGGGCTTTGCCTTTTATATATTTAGACTAGCTGTAACCCGCGGGCTTTGCCCCGTTTAACTTCTTAATTTTCAAGATGATCTCGTTCGCATGGCTCAATCACGTCCTGGTTGAAGTTCGTTCTCTACGCTCACTCACCTTTAGGTTGGAGCTCGTTCGCTACGCTCACTCACCTTTAGGTTGGAGCTCGTTCGCTGCGCTCACTTGCCTTCAGGTTAGCTCGTTCGCTACGCTCACTTGCCTTCAGGTTAGCTCGTTCGCTACGCTCACTCACCTTTTTGGTTGCAAATTAGCTGTTGTCATAAATGTAAAAGAAATAATAGTGCTGCACCCTGTTGGTAATCCTTGTAACTTTAATGCTATTGAACATCATAGAACAGAACCAACTTGTTTAATTGAAACAGCTGTTAAGATTCATTAATTCCATTTCTCATAAGGTTAACATGGGAAACTCCAGAGCCACTGGGGCGGAGCCTATTGGACGGATCACGAAATTGATGGTGTATAAACCTATTCCATGACATTCTACATGTATGTACCAAGTTTCGTGGCAATCGGTTCAGCGGTGTCCGAGTTTATCACCCCCAAACAAACAAACAAACAAATATATATACAAACATCCTCTTTTATAGATATAGATTAAAATCAGGTGTGATTATTTGTTTGTATTACTGTAATCTGTTTTGTTTATTTCAGCCTTAACCAATCAATAGTTTTATTAATACTTATGAAGTCGAACGGGGTGAAGCCCTTGGGTAACAGCTAGTTAATTTAAAGCCCAATCATATGATCAGTTTCTGTCTCAAAACTCACCATGTTGTATATTGTAGCATTAATGCAAATAAAAATGACTTAAGATTGTAACATTCAATAAGAAATCTACATACTCTAATCGAAATCAACCGAACTTAGCATGTTACCTGCAGTATGATAGGGACACACGGGTCTATATCCCCCGGTTGCAGCAGACCTTTCACCGCCACCAACACACTGTGTAGAGAGTACACCATGACGTGGACATGGAAGCCATGGGTCAGTATGGTGGACATCTCTTGTGCCAGCTGTAGCAGATACTTGGGTCCGAGGGTAACAATCACCTTCTGCAGAGTCTCCCTGGTGATGCGTCGCACACTGTCCAGACGAGACTTGAGGAAGGTGCACAGCTTCATCAGGATACTGTCAACATGGAAATTTTGAAGGGGTTTCAATTTTTTTTTTCTTTCAGGAAGAGATACAAAAAATCAAGCAACTATTGGACAGTGTGTTATACAGTCCTAGTTCTAAATAGTACAGTGATTCTATAGCCTACCGGGATAGTCAAACAGTAGCAGTGACTTTTCACGCTAGACAAGCCAAGCTCGTCAAACTACTGTGAAGGGTTTAATAGCCTAAACAAAACTAAAAGGACAACTTATTATATCGATATCACAGCAAACCTTTATATCACAGCAACCAACAACTAACTAAACTACTCTTTGGAAAATACACTGGCTATAGTTAGTCCACCTACCCACAGATGTTCTGTTGCAGCACCTCCTCAGGTAGTCGCTGCAACAGTTTCACCATGGCCAGTCCTATCGGCACACGCAGAATGTCTTCCTCGTCCCGGTCAGGCCCAGCCATCTTACGGTTCACTTTGTGCATCGCATCACTCTGAGTACGAGCTGTTATCGTTCTGTGAAGCTGCGGCAGCAGGATCGTTCTTATCGTGTAGATAACTCTTGTCGCAAGAGACTTGTTCAGAACGATCTGTCTCTCAATCACAGGTACAACTTCTTCTTGGACTTCCATTACCTCTGTGTCATCTTGTGTCATCATTGACTCGTCTTTGTCTAACAATTCCTCTAAATCATCTTCTTTTGGTTTGTCTTCTTGTGAATCTTCTTCTTCTTTGTTTTCCTCATTTTCCTTATTTTCCTCACTATTCTCATCAGTTGTCGGTTTGGAATCTTTCACAGTGTTTTCAATCACAGGTGTTTCTTTTAAGTCAGCATTGCTTAGGTCAAAATGAAAGGCGTTTAAGATTATGACTATTATTCTAACAAGCTGTTTTTGGTATTCCACTGAACTTTTTAACTTCCCTAAGTAAAACCGAAGAACTAATTCATACTGATGCCATGGAAGCATTTTGCACACAGTTCCTAAAACCTGAAAATAGATATATGATTACTAGTTGTAAAATATTAAAAAAATGTATTCGCATAGTTCATCAACTGACTGTTATATTTTTGCCTCACAATGAAACAAAAATATTTTAAAGACTTAGCTACTACTTCTCAACAGGTGACGAAAATCTCAAAGAACATACCAAAAAGGTGAGTAATTTAAAAAGGTAATAAAAAATGTTCTATTGTTTCATAAATGTCCATCATTGTTGGCTAAAAATTAATCCAACAAATATTCACAAATATTTATGCTAAATGCTAAAATTCTAAATTTTGTGTGATAATCATCGACAGTTTTTTACGTTACCTCAATAGCAGCATCCACAATGGTGTTTTTATTCTGGTATTTTTCTGAACAAAGGAAGTTGGAGATTATTGGTAGAACAAACTGAGTCAGGGTCCGTGTGTTGAGTGGCTTCGACAGTGTTTTGCAGACATCACAAAATCTGTTAACAGAATCAAATTAATATCGTCAATTCCAAATTAAAATTTAAGTTTATATTAAGTGCCATGGTTTAAGAGTTATGACTTTTGAAACTCCTCCATTGAATTAAAAAAAAAAAACATTTTTCCAAATTTTTAGTAGTTTTGAGATTTGAGTTTTGGTTTGAACGTCCAAACAACACAAAATCAATTATTAATTTTTAAGGGCTAAAATAAGTTGCAAAAAGGACATTTGCCTGGAAAACCAAAATGAATTTTTACATACATAATTTACTATGCTGTTAAATTAATAAGAATCAATTACAGTTTTGTTTTTATACAACATGTTTGATAATTTTTATCTGTAAACAAATGATGAACCAGTTTAACCCATTTGCCATTCAATGAATCAACAATCAACTCACTTCAACAAGGCTCGAACTTTACGATGCAGTTGCAAATGCTGTAGATTTTCGAAAAAGTCCACTTCCGTATCAATTTTATTCCCCAACAAAGACAAGTCTCGGAGAACCGGATGGACTTGGGGGCATTCTCGAGCCTGAAAACAATATAATTTATATTAATATTGGAATACAATAACATCCTTATGTGTCAAATTCTTATACACTTCCACTGTTATATTTATATAATTTCAATCCCTTCTTTTCTTTTAGTATAATTTGCTACTTAAATGAATCAAGCTGTGATGTAAATTACCTTCAAATTCTCTTGATGGGAAAATTCTATGACCTCGCTAAGTCTAACCACTGTCTGCCACTTGCTCCTGACATCTGATGATTGTTTCTGACAGCCAAACTAATATTGCTTAAAAAATACTATACCTTTAGACCAAAACCCGAATACTGAAAGTACCAAAAAATCAGATGCCGGATTAGCTTATATTATAGTCGAGGCAGAAATAGTGACTTGTTAAGGCACTGTAGGAAAATGAACTTTACCAACTAAACATTACAAACCATGTATCCAAGAAGAGTGATGGATTCCTGTTGGACAGTTTCACTTCTCTTATCTCTAAGACCAGCCGCTAGGATCCCCAGAATTGTTTTATTGACAAGGAACTCCAATTCTCCAGGATATTGTTGGCACAGGCTCGGACAAAGTTTGTGAAGACACTGACTAGCGCAGTCCTTCAGCGACATGTCTTTTTCCTGATAAAACAAAAACACAATAGTTCAGTAAGAATTGTTTCCGTAAATACAGTCCTGTAGTTAATTTTGCATTCACTGTGCAATTCTACTGTTCATGTATCATGTATTTCAAATGGCAGTTACTGCTACACTATTCTCTCTAAAAACGTCAGGAACTATTAAATTCTCCTTATATTTTTACTTTGTTTTTCCTACCTAGTACATACTATACTAATTTTGAACATACCAGTCACAATAAATATCCAAATAAATAAGTGAATATATCAAATTACAAAAAGCATAAAGTTAGAAAATGAAGTAGGCCTATACAGTAATGCTCTTTATTACTTTCATAAGTGCAGTTAACCCTCATGACAATAAATATGTTTCCAGTAATTTAATTTTAATAGCACAACTATCCCCCACGAATCTTAGAAATGTATGCAAAACAACAATAAGAACCACTTATGAGTAGTTAGTTTGAGCTGTGATAACAGAACAATGGCTTGGCTACTGTATATTTGCAAAACATCACAATCATATATAACCTTCCTATCAAAAATACATCATTTCATTTCTTATACTTACAGTTCTAATGAAGTGGAAACACGTGTAGATAATAATCACGCCTTGTTCAATGGTTATTTTACCATCGGAGTTTAATTGACTGATTATCTTGAAAGCATCCAAGCGGCGCTCAAAATCTGGCTGATCAAGCCATTTGGCATTCCAGGCATTTAAATCAGCTAAAAGTTGAGCATTCAGGCCATTCTCCTCACTGTAAACAAATTAAACACTTCTTATCTAGTAAATTTTATCTGACAAGATCAATCCAGACATCTGGTCAACGATCGCTAATTGGTAATGTAATGTATGGTAATGTAATGGTATCTTGCAGGGGCAGGCCAAAGCCATAAAGCACTTTATCCAAATTAGTTAAATCACTGTGCACCTTAATAAGTTGTTTAGTTAAACCTTAACCTTAGTTAGACCTTAAAGATTCTAGCATTTGATGAATACCTGTAGCCTGCCAATCAATTCCTCCTGAGAAAAGGTAACTCCTCTCAACCTCTTAACAAGTTTCCAAGAGTTGTCCTGACCTCAGAGAGTCATTTAAACACGAATGATACATAAAACTTTGTGAAAATGAATAATACACAGCTAACCTTAAAGTATTGATTTTGAATTTTAAAAACTCTTGTTTTTGTAAAAATGTATTTGTTTACATTAGAGGATTAGAGGTTGGTGCCTATAAAACCCTTAAATAACAAACTCACTACAAAAAATTCATTATCAACAGATTTTTCTTTTTAATTCTTAATCATTAGACTCACAGTTTTTTAATGAATTTCAACAAAACCAAAAGACGTTTCAGCAAGTTAATCCACCAACACAGCAAAAGTTATCATTATCTAAATACATTTATTTTTTAACTACTCACTCACCCATCAATGCTCTTAACCAAGGCTGACAGCATTCTACGAGGTTCAGCCCCGACTACAGAGCCGAACAGTGGTGCCAAACTGCGAATGTATCCTCGCGGATGAGTCACGTTGGTGATTAGGTTGGTAACAGTGGTGATGAGAGGGCAGATGACATGCTCGCCTGCCCCTGCCTTGCGTCCAACCACAGGAATCATCAGGGAGAGCAACGTTTCACTAGTCTCGGAGTCATGGACCAGACTGGTGACGTGAGAGAGAATCGTCAAGTCTCGATGTCCCAGAGTTGCTTTAGGTCGGCTGAGTTTCCTCTTCATTCTTTCCAACACCGCCGGAATGTGAGGATACAGGATTCTGCTGCCAAAGTTTGTATGACCTAAAACAATCGGAAATTTGATCAAATACCCAAGTTACTAGTATTTGTAATAGTAATAATTTAAACCCGTTTTGATGGTGTAATGGCATGTGAATCACAGGGTTATAATTTAAACATTTTATTTGTAGGTAAAATAGATATACTTTTCCTGTCACTAGTGTTTTAAACTACACTATGTTTATAGATGTAAAGAAACCTCTCAATTTTTTAAGTGACCCTATATCCTAACCATACACTTAGCTTGCTTATCAAGTTATTTAATTAACACTTTTTTACACATTAATTACACAAAACAAACTGATTTAGTTGTTAAAATGTTTGGATCATATTTAAGTACAGGTTAAGCCCAATTGCCCAACCAGTCAGTTTGGCTTGATGGTTTTTTGGCAGGTTAGGGTCAAGTCCCTATCTTTGCCTGAAAAATATGCATTTTATTTAAAAACAATATACAATGAATATCGAGGCAGAAAACCAATTAACTAAAACTAATCATCAGAAACTTAGGAGGACAAAATGTATCAAAAATCCATCCAAGATGAACCCCAGAAGATATTGCAATGGTTTAGTAATCCAAAGAGACATTTCATCAAAACTATCTGAACTGCCCAGGACTTTTTCTTATGAAAGTTGCGTATCCGATCGTTCTCCCTAAATGTATTCCTAAACCAAACAATACATTAAGCAATGCATTAATGTTGACTAAGGAACTAGGACTTAAGAGCTTAGCTAGGAATTTAGGCTAGCCTATATTTTGTTTCCTACAAATTCACAGACACACCCACCTTGAATATCATAACTGTCCACATCAAGCAAGTCGTTAATAAGCAATGGTGGGATGGGAGGTACATCTTCATCCATGTTGTCCTCCCAGTTTACAAGCTTGTCTACAATGTCCATTATGGCATTGACAACCGAACCATGGGTCTTGGTGGAGGTTAGTAGAGTCATTATGAAAGGTAGAGGGGTCACTTCTGGCGAGTCCTTCTGGTACTTTATAAGAAGAGGGAAATACCTGTAAAGATGCCACATCAAATAATCTGAATTCATGAAACATTATGATTATATCATCAGTAAATCGTGTCATTGAGACAGGGCCAGAACACTGCATGAGTTTACTGTAGTTTTGAATAGAAATGCCTTTTGTAGCTTTGTTACTGACTAAGACCAGCAGTTTCTGTAATTTATTACATTCCAATGATTGATGACAGCTGGAACCAGTTTCAAACCATCAAAACATTGATGACTCTTATCCGAATCAGAAGCCTTCTGATTATAAGGCGAGCACTTTCTCCACTTAGCTTCTCAACCATTAAACCATGTTATGTACAGGTAGTGGCAACCTTATGTAACTTAACTTAGGCTAATTGACTAACAGTTAATGAAATTAAATTTATACGAAAATTCAAGCCAATAAGGAGGTTGAGGGATAGTTCACAAGAGCAAAAATGACTCTTTAGTCTTTAATAATATATTTATAAATTATTGTATAAAACTGTCTTCATTTTTTAAAGTAGATGAACAGAGGTTTAACAAACTTTAATCCTGCATGGAAGGGGTTTTAATTTTGTTGTAATATAGGCATTTTATTGAAGAACTTTAACACCACATACACACTCAATAATATTCTAATAAGAAATACAACAGCCGTGAAAAATTAAAAATATAAACTGTGAGTACTAATGACTTGCCTAGGAAGTTGACTCCAAGCCATGAAGAGCTTCATCAAAGGTGTAGGACTATGGATGCCTTCTACTGGCAGCTTGGGTAGGTAAGGCCAGACAAACACCTGCAATCATAATGTTCATGTTGCACTAAGGATTAAAAGTAAAAAAATATAAGATTCAAATTTGTATGAGAAAAGATTTGTGTTTTGAATGGTACTCTTCCAAGTGACATGTAATTGATTGGTAAATTTGTGTGGACTTGGCTCACTTTTTGCTATTTTATATTGAGAACTTTAAGGGTAAAGTGAATAAAATACACACAATTGTTATAAGACTTCATATCTAGGCAAGTTGAGTGTTTATCATCGTACCTAACAAGTACTAGATGAAACAACCAAAAAAGTGGGTGAAATCCAAACACATTTTTTTTAAGGACTTTAATCGGTTAATGTTAATGTCAATGTCAATGTGTGTGTTTGTTGGTTATGAATACAGCAAAAATAAATTTCACCCTATTAAAACCCAAGTACCTGCTTGGATGTGGGTTTTATGTCCGGTTTCATTTCAAACTAAATATTCTCTCTGATTTTAGAGAAAATGTTTCACTGTGTGATTTACTATTTGATCATAGTACCAGAAAACAAACAGACATTAGATTACAAATACATTATTCTACTTTGTTGTAGTCTATAAGCTTTAGAGTAAAATAGTTAGAAATAAAAAGAAGAGATTAACTCATTCAAGCACTAACTATAAGCAAAGTTAAAAGTTGTCTTTAGATAATTACTACGGATCATAAATCTGAGAATATCTTAGTTTGGCAAAAGTCTGATATAAATCTAAAATAAATAAAAGATTTTCACAAGTGATAGTAGCTCCATGGCATTCTTGTTTGTAAAGGTTAGGTTAGTTGGAATTTATCTTCTTTAGTCTGTGTTAGTTGGATTACAAAATAAAAATTATAAAAATAATATGTCTTCAAACCATGTTTTTGAGTGAGAACAAATCATGGAAATGTTTATAAAAAAAAGGTAATGCAAGCCATCGTTTAGGAAATATCAGCTCAACCATAGAGTTACTACTCATAGAGTTACTAACTCATAGAGTTACTATAGTCCAGTAAAATAAGACATTTTGGTATGCAAAAGGTCGGGTAGTTCTGATTTTTGGATATGTTGTTAGTATTGGGCCCATAACATAAAATCCAAGTTATCCACCTCGGGATACTGCCGCTCGCCGCGGGGCGCGCCACTTGTTATCGAAATATAAAAAATATGGCAATTCCTATTGTTTTTCACTCAATCTCGCGAACCGTTGATTTTACCGAAAATTTTATATTATTACATTAAAGAAGAATAAATTTGTGACAGTTTAAGCCCAACAGCAAGTATGTAGCGTAAATAATGGTCAAAATACAGACCATCAAAATAAATAAATTTTCCAAAGACGTATAAAAATTGTGGTTTTTTCAATATTTCCACAATATAGTTGTTTGAAGCAAACACCGTATTGATTTAGAGAGTATGCCAGTTTATTTGCTATTAATAGGAAATAAATTAAAGTATGAATAAAAATACCCCCACCTCAGCAAACCTGCAGACTAAGCGAATTTCCATTTGCTTGATTTGATTTTCACAAACCTATTTAAATAACATTAGGTTTAACTGGTACCTAGGTTTGCTGCTACAGGGAGGGTAATATAGTATAAAAAAATAATAGTATGATAAGAAACAAATAAATTTACCCAATTTTATAAAAATGTGTCTATAAATAATGAAAAAACAATAATTAAAAATCTTCGCTATTGGAATAACTTGAGGGGTTTTAATTTACATTTTTTAATTTTCTCCGTAACCAATAACTGTAAAAAAAAATTTAATGTACTAAATTATTTGTTTTTATCCTTTACAAAATTCTTTAATGATACAATTGTAAAATTGTATGTTTTGAGGGTCAAAAATACGAAAAACCCGTTCCTAACAAAAAAACCCATAAAGCAACCGTTCCCATGGCCTGATCATGCTTCGCGAACTCGTTTTAATAAATGTACGTTTGCATGCCGAAAAACAGACCTTCAAAATATACCTTCAACGGCAAAACTACTCTTCCCAAAGCTGTCAAATGTTTATACAAACATTTAAGCTAAGCTTTGGGTACAATACTTTCGCATGAAAACAAAATAAAACAGTTTAACATAGTTAACAGTTTATTGAGGCTGAAAGATCAGGCAAATAAGATCTTCCAATTACAATCACTCTACAGATCTTCCATGCAGCGAGTAATTTTTCCACGCCAATTGCGCCCATCTATACAGGTCATGCTGAATATGAATTGAAATACAGGATTGATATTGAAGAACACAAAAAATTCACAAAGATCGGAAATTTCACTATAAGACGTACAGACAAGTTCTGGTGTGGAATTTGGTCTGATTAGGCCATCGAACAGGCCCTCATAAGGACAACGAAAAGCTCTAGTGGAGTGGATTGACTCAAGGACGAGGGATAACAGACATAATGTTGTAACTTGATGGGCGCTTGGGATGATCCGTCCTCATCAAATCTGTAGGAATTTGAGAAATGTTATAAAAAATGACGTCAGTTGAACATTAACAGTGAGCAACATGTTGACGTGCGCCATTTTCGCATTGCTCGAGACAACGAAATTGATGAAAAGATTAAATAGTGGTCTCATCAACACACACCATTCAATATAAATGATATGCTGATTATTAGCAAATTTCCCTTATAGGGAATACGCTATTACAGTAGGTCTCATGCTAAGACCTAGACCCGGGACTGGTTTACTTTTTCATTTTGGTATTCCTAGAGGCCAAAAATACTGTTGGTTCAAATTGTCATAACATATATAAATACTAGGGAACCCGTGCGGCTCAACGAGCCGCCTAGTATGAAGCATAACGCCGAGGAAAACCTTATGCTTAAATTCTAGTAACTTTAGTTACATCTTAAGAGTTATTTGAAAACTTGTTAGAAACTAATTTTAAATATCTCTAATGGCGTCACCAAGGTTCACCTACATCATTTCTGCTCTCGATTTTAACTGATAACTTCTAATGAATGCTAAACGATCTGCCTCAATTCGAGTTGATATGTTGCAACAAATTTTTTCCAGCATTGAGAATTATTGAAGAACACTGTTACCGTACTGATAACCTTTCTTAAGTAATTAAAGTTGGGCCATTTTATTCCTTTGATTTGAGACATCCCCCGATCAAACGAATTTTCTCCGTAGAGTAACCTGAAAAGTGGGGTGATGTCAACCATTTCATGTGCTCCATTTTTTACCCACAAACTCGGGGTTACCAACTGGACAGCCATAACCTGCTTTGAATAGGCTAAAGCAGCAACACCATTGAAAGTTGGTTAACGTAATTTTAACAAAATGTTTTGAAATATCTCGATCTGTCAGTGTCTGAAGTAAACATTTCTTGCATGCATTCATTTGATCTGACATTTAGGCAAGTTTACTTTCCCACCGTGACAACACTATGAGCTTCGTATATTTTTTCACTTCCAAAGTAAGTTGCAAAGCAGAACTGGCAAATATTATTCATCTCACAAAGTGAATGTGTATCTGGATGGGTATCTGTTAGACCAGGTCTCTCTTTTTCTACTCTCCTCATACGCACAAAATATCTTATTATTAATTGTGTCCTACTACCGTGTTCAATATTTCTTCTTTGAACTTGAGGCATTTTCTGTTCTTCCAACAAAACTGATTTGAACTGTTTAACTTGGTCTTAACCTACTAAATATTACAAACATCAATATTTACTCCCAAAAAGCACTCTCATAAACAGTTTCTTAAAAACTTCTTATAAACAGCTGTTTTTTTGTTTTAAATTTGTTCTATGTATTTCTTATGGGGAAAACCCGACCTTTGAGTGGGCCTCACGCTCTTAAGGGCAGGAATTTTAGAATTCTAAAACCTTATTGCAAAACTACATATTGAGACGAATCTTTTGACACCTCAAACGTTGAAATTGGTCCACAAATAAGGGAGGAGTTGCGTTAACAAAAAACGGCTTCACGTATTATATATATATATATATATATATGTATATATATGTATATATATACCGGGTGTTCGAAAAAGATTCCATAGTTTTAAATATACCTCACGATACTATTGTTCAAATGGATGAGTAATAATCATTTCGTGCTGTGTAGAGTATACTTCAAAGTTTTAGTTTCGTACGTTGGCAATAAGTTGCGTACACCTATTTGACCTTGAACATAGTTTTGGTAATAAATTATAATACAAATAATAAAATATTAATGATAAAAATGAGTAAAAATAGCTTGCATGTCTGCAGGGCTACAAATGGTTCGTATATTGAGGTGTGATAGTGTTAAAATAACTTATATTTTATTACCTTTCATTTAATGTATCAGCATAGCCTTCTCTATGGTATCAGTCGTTGAACAGTGGTTTGTATCGAGCGCAATAAATAAATAAATTTTCAAACTAGGTGAGATTGTGGAGACTCTGATAAAAAAAAAAAAAAATAAAGATTTTACTAAACTGTATCCAAAAACGTTATTGTCGTCCGTTAGCACAATGATTCCCAAAAATCATCCGATTTAGTAGAATTTGGTACAAACATTACTTTTATTTGTGAATCAAGAGATGGACTATTTATCATTTACTTTGTATTGTAAGTGACTTAGCCTATTGCTTTTGCTTGATGGCCTATAAATCATTGAATCATGTAAACGTACATTTATTTATTAAAACGAGTTCGCGAAGCATGATCGGCATGATAAGGCCATAGGAACGGTTGCTTTATAGGTATTTTGCCGGTAAGAATATTTTTTTCATTTTTAATCCTCAAAACATACAATTTTACAATTGTATCATTAAAGAATTTTGTAGAGCTTAAAAACAAATAATTTAGTACATTAAAATGTTTTTTACAGTTATTGGTTACGGAGAAAATTAAAAAATGTAAATTGAAAAACCTCAAGTTATTCCAATAGCGAAAATTTTTAATTATTGTTTTTTCATTATTTATAGACACATTTTTATAAAATTGGGTAAATTCATTTGTTTCTTATCATACTATTATTTTTTTATACTATATTACCCTCCCTGTAGCAGCAAACCTAGGTACCAGTTAAACCTAACGTTATTTAAATAGGTTTGTGAAAATCAAATCAAGCAAATGGAAATTCGCTTAGTCTGCAGGTTTGATGAGGTGGGGGTATTTTTATTCATACTTTAATTTATTTTCTATTAATAGCAAATAAACTGGCATACTCTCTAAATCAATACGGTGTTTGTTTCAAACAACTATATTGTGGAAATATTGAAAAAACCACAATTTTTATACGTCTTTGGAAAATTTATTTATTTTGATGGTCTGTATTTTGACCATTATTTACGCTACATACTTGCTGTTGGGCTTAAACTGTCACAAATTTATTCTTCTTTAATGTAATAATATAAAATTTTCGGTAAAATCAACGGTTCGCGAGATTGAGTGAAAAACAATAGGAATTGTCATATTTTTGATATTTCGATAACAAGTGGCGCGCCCCGCGGCGAGCGGCAGTATCTCGAGGTGGATAACTTGGATTTTATGTTATGGGCCCAATACTAACAACATATCCAAAAATCAGAACTACCCGACCTTTTGCACAGCAAGCCCATATTTTCTGATAGATTTACTGGACTACTATGAATTTTCTTAGACTTGACAACAACTTCCATGAGAACTAAAACTATCTCCAATACTCACATTAAATACTACATCAAGCTCTTGGCTGGTCCAAGGGAATGTCTCAAAAGCACTGAAGAACTTGATGATGACACCAAACGCTGCTGTCCGGATGTTCTTGAGAATGTTGAAGTATCCTGCATGGACAACCTCTCGTTGAGACAGCGCAGACGACACTGTCACTCCCACACACAGCAGCACACGGAGTAAGAAACTGTCACAGACAACCAAATATAACAATAGTGCGAATGGTAAGTGTATCAAGACAATATTGATAAATTTATTTCTAAATTATTACATTGAGGGGAAATCTGTAGAAGGTATGGTTAAGCACAAGGAATTATTATACCTAGTTACTGTCATTAATTAATTGGACGACTTACGGAGCAAACTAAAAATTAATTTCAATCGAATAGAGAAGGTAACTGAGTTCCTAAAGAAAGCAAATCAATATTTATTATTGATACAATTGAAGAATTTATACAAACAAAGATATATTGGGTAGAAAAAATATGGGTGTATTGTGTACTTAAATCCATAAAATAAAGATTGGTAAAGTTTAAAAACACTAGTAACTAACACAAGACACACTTCAGTTCCAAAAGAGAAAGAAGAGAGAGAGAGAGAGTTTCCAAAAGTCTAGAAGGTAACTTGTCAACACACTGGTTTTAATTGAGTAAAGGCTCTAGGCTAGCTTACCATAGAAATGTCCAGGTACGCCATAAATAAATAAATACACACTGAAAAAACACTCTGTACAAATTTACCGCAAGGCTTCCTCTGATAGCAGAGATCCACATTGAGATAAAACAACCATCAAAAGGTTGACAGTAGACAACAGTCGCTTGGGTGGCACCATGGCCGACAGGTCTAGTGTGGACTGCACTGAATGTACCATGGCAGCTGCATCGTCTGCAAGAAAAAATATAAATATAAGAATCAAACTAATTATTGATTGGCTGGCAAAATATCTTGAATTTTGTACCAATCTTGTTACATTTTAGGTACTGAGGACATTTTCTCAGCTGAGGAAAAGACCAGATTCCAAATCCCAAAACTTAATGTCTGTACTAGTCATGATGAAAAATTACCACTCTTTAAATATCAATGCTAATAATTTCACAAATTCCACTTTATAGCTCAAAAACATGCCTCTAGTGTTCACCCTAACCTTGAATTGTAGAAGCGTATAGCCTAAAAGCCATCTTCAAGTAGAATAACAGTTCTTCGTGTTTACATCCTGCCAGGAAACGGAAAACAATTGATCTTCTAACTTGCTTCGCTGATTTACTTCCAGTCCTGGCACCACTTCTGTTCAACATTTTGCTGTACACAATCCTGTAAAATTGGGAAAACTAATTGTAAACAACATGTTTAACAATAGCCCTAGTACAGCTTACAGTATGTTAAATCTTGTGTTAACTAATCATACAACGTATTAAGCATCTGCTAGTTAATCCTTTAATCTACATAGCTATGTTTTTATAGTTTGTTGTGATATTTAGGCAAATAGCTACCCATAACGTCGTTCACTGCACTTACAGGAATATGAATCAATTTTATAAAGGTTTTCACCATAACTAACAAATATGTTTTAAAAATAATTTGATTTAAACATAGACCTATTTTTTGATGACTGAAAACTAGGAATAAAATTAAGGTACCTCATGACCACAGGAATCAGATCAGCTCTGTGTTCAGGCCTGATGATTTCATTGTCTGCATCGATTCTGAAAAGTGTCACTTCTTCCTTGAATGTTTTGTCATCTATCAGTCCATACAAATGCTCTCTGAAACAGTCCATGCAATATTTAATTACAGATTCACGACTGTGAAATAGACCCTCTAATGTTAAGGTTGGGTCTGTTGCATGCTGAGTGAGTAGCATGTTGGACTTTGTCTTTGGTGTAAGAGGAACGGGTTCAGACCACGATATATCTACAAAAATTGTATGGGTTTGTATCTCTTCCTCTCAAAAGAATTAGTGATCTTCGAATTAAAATAAAACAAAAAAATGGTCTAAAGACACTAAAAAAAGCTGGAAATTGTAGAATAAAATGATAACTTAGTTTTCGCTTTGAAACTGTTTTCATTCTCATACACGAACTATTCAATCTAGCCAAACTGAAATATCAACTTATTGTTATCTGTAACAACTTTTATGTCACTTACCATGCAAAAATAAAACTTCAATAGTAGAACATTTGGTTACAGGCTCATTCACCTATGTTTTCTTAAAAAAAGATTACAACTGTTCTATATAGTTTAATACTAGCAACCCCATTATTGAGTAAAAATCTAAATGCATTACTCACATTATAATCTTCCGTTAACAAAAGGGGGACCTTTCCAGACTATTACATATCTTTTAGGGAGACAGTTGACTACTTATTATAAGAACTAAATACTCACTTGTACGGAGTGAGATACTTGAACTTATATGTCATAATACAATCCAAAGCGGCTTTTTGCACATCTGGATTCTTGTGGCTTAGGAAATCAAGATATGTTTTGTATAGTTCAGGCTCCTTAAACATTGATCTAGGGTTCCGTAGCTTGCTGAATACTGTCAGATGAGCCAGCAAACTCCTGAAAGACAAAGTTAGAAATCAATCAAATATTTTGCACAATAGACTTATTATTGGACTATTTAACGATACTCTTATAAAAGTGAACGTTAGATAGCAAAGCAATAAGGATTTGGTTTGTACTCTTACAAAATGGGTGTAAATATGCATTAAATGCACAAATATAGTAAGATGAGTTACACACAAAAATAACCATCAATACAGTGATTTTTTTGTAAGCCTACAGTGATTATAAACCAAGATTTTACAATCAGTTTAAAACCTTGAATTTTAAATTTCTATACTTACTTCGATGCAGTTCTTCCAGGAGTTATTGTTTCATTCTTAACTTCCTCTTCTTCATCATCATCGTCTGAATCCTGTATTTCATTCAAATCACCATTTATGTTTTCAACTTCCATGCTATCTTCTTCTTTTGTTGATTTTTCTACATCATCGTTTGTCTTTCTTTTGCCTTGTTTTATATTCCAGCAAGTAGCATCCTCAGGACTGAGCCGAAAGTATTCAGTTCTTGAAAAAAAATTATTAAAACTTTTAGAGATATCCAGATTTCTCAAACATAAAGAGACAATTACAATTGTTGGATATACACACCTACTTAAAAGTAAAATTTATACACAGTTTAATGGTGACTTACTTAAGAAAATCTAGGAACAGCACCACAATATCCCTGTTTTTCTCTTCACAAACTTCAGGAAAGTTGGTCATCAACTGCCACAGCAGTATGCGTCTGTTAAAGACGTCTGGACGCTCTTCTACTGAGGCTAACTGCTTGCTGGCCTCCGCTAACACTTCACCTAAAAATACACAATATCCCTTCAACTTTCAGATTTTGGGTGAAATTTTACTAGCATATAATGATGGTTTCTTTTAATTTTAAGAGCAGACAAGTACTCAGTTCATTAAAAAAGATGTTATGGTCTTATAAAATAAAATCTGTTACTAAACAATTTTTGGGGAACATTGTCAGAATGCTTCATTTATGCTAAACTCACAGAGAATCTACCATTGACTAATCAACCTGCAAACTGTTCATTATTTTATATTTTTAAAACGTAACATTTTTTAAGATGTTTGTTTCATACAATCTGTATATTTTAGACACTCGGCTAGAAAATCTCGAGAAAAAGCTATGAGTTTTCTTGTTTTAACAGTCAACTTGATTACAAAAATCACACTTATATCCTAATGATAAAAGAATTGCCTTGTTGTCGTGAAAGTATGTCCTTTTAAAAGATAGTAGCATAGAACCTATATGGCACTTTATAAGTGGAAATAGGTCAGTGCTTACAGGAAAAACATTCCAGTCAAACAGACTAATTAATATTGTGATTTATATGTCATTTGAGTGTTTGGTACAACTACTAAACAACACAAGATTACTTACACTTGTAATCATGTTTATCAAGGGTTGAAACACCATTTTGAACTTGAGCAACGGCGAGGTTCAGCTGATTTAGAAACACAGGCCAAAACTCGGCTGATGGAATCAACTTGGCGTATGACACAATCAGCTTGGATACAGGTTCCCACAACAACTTGAAGTTGATGTGGAGATTGCCGAGCAAGTAGTTGACTGGTATTCTAAACTCTGTCTGACGTGTTGTATCGTCCGAGCACTCCAACATCTGAAGTTGGCGAAGTTTGTCGCGGTACTCATGAATGGTAGCTCCAATGTCTTCTGCCTTCACAATGGTTGACAATATCTTGTGAACTTCACTCTCATTACTTGGTTCAAGAAACAACAAGAGACTGGCACTTAGGGATCGGATCTGAAAAATGGTTACTGTTGAAACATTTTATAGTATTGGTGTTTAATTTTTGATGACTAATAATTTGAAAGTTTATGAACTAATTATCACTAACTAATTGTGTTTGTTGTATTCTTCCATAATAGAAATATTAGGCAAGCAAATCATTACTCTTACTAAACAATAATAAAGCATAAAGCAAGACCGTTAATTATGAAACTGAATAGAATTAATTAAATAGAAACTGTCCATATAGTTCTCTTCGCCAATGAGATTCACACACGTTTGTAAAATTAGATAAAGGCTACACACAACTGTTGTTGTGGGCAAATGTTGATAAGGTGTGCACAAAACTAAAAATCATTGGCGGTAGACTGTATCCAATCCCTCACTTCAACTACCAACCGCAAAATAATCAGACACTAGATCTAAGGGACAAAATTTAATTTTTAAGAAAAAAGATACGAACCTGGTGAAAAGGGGAGGTGAGATTTTCAGTAAGTTGGCACTTCATTTTATCACTATCCTTCTCATACACACCCAGCTTGGCAATATTTACGTAGATTTCAAGTGTCTGAAGAGCCAAAACACTGGTGTTTATCATAGGAAGTAGAACCTCATGGACATTGCCCAATTCCAAATCCACAGCTCCCTTATTATCAGATAATAGAAAAATGGCACTTAAAGTCTGATGCATGAGAAACAGAATTTTGGATGGAGAGCTGGTAGATTTCAACGAGTCAACTAATTTATTAGTTAATTTGGATGCCAAGTTGATCACTTCTTTTGACATAGTTGGACTATCCCTTGCCATGTTAGGAAGAACGGTAACAGCTTGGATGAGTTTTTCCAAGTTTGTATCAATATCTGCTTGATTTACACATTTTAAAATGTTTAAGAGTTCTTGGGTAATGGCTTCTCTCCTGTAAAAAAAAAAACACATAATCATTGAATAATGGGCGGGTACTCAAAAGCTTCCACGTTAGGAACTGTAGTGACAGCTGGCTTATTAACTGTATTTAATGTGTTAACACATGTTATGATTATTGTTTATTGTTGATATTTCAGTTTACCTCGTTACTTAAATAAAGGTTGTTGTACATTTTTTTTGTGAAATTATTATTTGGCACCGCTACAGGAACCTCAGTCTACTTATGAAAAATACAACAAAACAAAGAGAAAAATACACCCAGGAAATCTAATCTTTATCATTATCAATATACAAATAGAATTAATATATAATTGTTATTCATCACATCTTAGGGATGCTATTAAATGTGCTTTCTTGTAAATGTTATAAAGACAAATCAGAGTAGGCCAACATCAAGTCTATTAAAATCTAAATTTAGATTGACACTACTGCGCACTAATTCATTAATAAATCAAATTTTCAATTACATTTTTTTGTAACATCATCAAAATACTAATTTACTTTCAATTGCACTTAGAAAAATCAACCTACCACTTCAATGAACATGGCAAAGGATAATGCCTTGTGTTTTTTAACTCTGAAAATGACTTTGATGGTGGTGTTTTGTTTAAAACTATTCTTGTTAACTCCAGAAGCACTTGATCAAAATTCTGATCCTGGCAATGTTTGAGAAAAGACGGAAGAATGAGACTGTCAAAACCGGAGTAAGGTAACATTCCACTCGTAAATGATACAACAGCTTCCCAGTTTCTAGAAGATATGATCTAAAACAGTATAAATGTTCGGTTACAGTAAAACAAATCAAGGAACAATTAAATGTTATGTATGTTGAAAAATTTGCATAGAATCTATCTGCACTACTACCTCTATCTTACTAGGAAAATTTTCTAGTAGGCCCAAACTCGGTTTTAACATGAGAAAAAGCCGGATTCCCAATCCGAACAAGAAAACGTGTCCAAAGAACGTCTTGACTTAGAACTGAAACAACATGACAAAACGTCTGTTGAAGCCTAGCATATTTTTTAAATGAATTTAGTTTATCTAGCACAATGCCATTTTCCCCATAAAACCTGTCTGCCTTTACATTTCTCCATACTATTATACAAATACACTAACTTACCTTTGCTTACAATAACATTGAATTAATGTCTGTCAGCTTTTTGTAATTTTTGTTACTATTGGATTATATTTTTTTTTAACAAATTATTCAATAAAACTGAATTCAAGAAGATTATTATTACTATTAGCCTAACAGATTTAATAATTATTAATGGCAGAGCATTATACTGTGAGCTTTTGGTAAATCTACCTAAATGGTTTATACCTAGGTTAAGTCATTGTATCAATGGTTTAATTCCTGGCACACCCACTAAAAATTTACCATTTTTTGTTTATTTCTCTCGTTGGCGTCTTGTAAAATGCCACTGATGTAAAAAGAAGAAAATGGTCAAATGGAATTTGAAATAAACACTGCAACAGCTGATCGATTTAACAGTGTTGCCCATATTTTTTCAAATATATTACGTGCCTAATACAAGCCCACTATTTTGTGTTGTTTAGTTAAAATACTGGAATGTGGGAAAGTAAAATTAGTGTTAGCTACAAAGTGAAATGAGTGTGGAAAAGTAAGTAAATGCAGGAATCAGCGACTTTTCATGCTAAAAACAGTGCAAGAAAGCCCACTTTGTCAGGTAGTCTATCTGTAGAAAAAATGGATTTACGACATTGAAAACTTTTTGTAAGCCTTTTATTACAAGAATGTCAAATATTTTTTAATCAGTTTAATCTGGAAAGTCTTCCAAACTGATTTGCACAATGCCCAGGGTGAAAAATAACTATTTAAAAAAAAAATTAGCAGCCATTTTAACTTACCTTCTGAATCAACGCAACGCTCACATCTTGAGGCAAACTGATTCTCGGAGACAGAAGGACATTTCTTGAAACATCCACTAACTTCATCATAATATCCAAGGGACAGTTGTCTGAAATAATCAGGGTCACTGTCTTCACAAATTCTGCAGGATTCAGCAGAAAAACACAGTTTTTGTAGTTCAATACAACTAGAGTGAGTTGTAGCAGGTTCTTCAAAGTATTCAAACATTTTTCACTTATCTCCTCTGACAATTTTAATACTGGTCTTTTAATATTTTCCTGAAACCGAGAAAAAAACCCTGTATGTTGTTGTAAACATCACTGATTGGTTGTTGTTATTGAAAGATTTAATTGTTGGGGAAATGAGGGACGTAGAGTGCTTTAGAAACAAACATTAGAAACTTAGTCTCATCTTTTTAAAAATTTATGATAGTATTTTATTGCAAGCCGCAGACCTAAGTTATTTCTTTAGTTGATTTTAAGGTGAAATCATTGACTTTCACTTAACCCATCCTCATCCACTGTTTATTTAAGGTAGGTCTCTTAACAAGATCTGCCACAGAATGGGTGATCTCATCATGACTTGAACACCTAATCTGTCCAAGGATATTCTATGTCCTAACCAAAACTGACTGTTGACTGTAGTCTTTGACCCTATGAACATCCCCATAAACCCCCCTGTTTTAAAACAGTAGCAGTTGAAGGTAGGTAGGAACCTTAAATATGCAGAGCTGTTTTCTGGTTAGATAACACTTTTGACCAATAAATTATTGATTAGACCAAACGGTCTATTGTGATAATGATAATTTAAATTTGTACATTGTAGTGTAGTATTTTTATGTTTTCTTTATTTTTTTTCAAACATTCTTGTCACCATGACTGACTAATGACTGTACGAATGAATATATGATAAGTTACGTACCTTTGTCTGTCATCAGTCTTAAAACAGTAGGTCTAGTTTGGGGATTACTCGGCGTGACCCGAAACTAGTAATCCCCAAACTACTGTACGTACAAAGGTACATAACCTATTGTAAATAAGTCTTTTCTCCAAGGAAGCTGCACGTGGTACAGTTTTCAGCCACTATTGTTAAGTTATGCCAAGTGAAAATGGTCGATATATGAGCCTTAGGGCTTAAAGGATTTTAAATTTTTAACTTGTAGGCCTATATGAAACTTTGGAAGAAATTTAATAAATGGTAAAGACATTAATAAAAGGAATTGAGAACTATACTAGGGTGCACAAGAGTCTGCAGTTGGCGTCAGCCAATGACAAGACAGGGCTAATGCGACGTTGCTATATCGCCTGTTGACGACACTAATTACTAGGTGGTGTTCGCAGAGGCATCCACAAAATTGAGCGGAGTCATCAAGGGTTCATATTATATTGTTTTTGTCATACTGCAGTAAAAACAATAGTTTTTAATGCATGCGTTGTGGGTCTAAAGTACCATTTTTACTCCTTAGGGAGTAAAAATCGTTTTTAGCCTCTATGGAGTAAAAATCAGCTTTTGTCAAATCAGTTGAAAATTTCTATTGTAAACGATTGCATGTATCGAAAATATGTATTGATTCGTGCTTCGTAATCATTTTAACCAACAGTCTCTTCCCATAGCATTTTAGCATTGCAGATACATTAATCCATTCCCACACTCAACACTGCTCACCTTTACTACTTCCACCACCACCGTAGGGGGTCGTGGACCTGCTTCCCTCTCTTTAATAGCATTTTAGGATTGCAGATACATTAATATAATTGCCAAAGACAGTTCCCACACTCTGCACTGCAAGCCTTACTACTTCCTTCACCACTTCCTTCGTTGTGGGGCCTGTTTCCCTCCCTTCTCATAGCATTTTAGGATTGAAGATACATTAATCTAACTGCCACAGATGGTTCTCATACTATGCTCATACTTTACTACTTCCTAAGCCACTTCCTACATCGTGGACCTGTTTTCCTCCCTTCCCATAGCATTTTAGAATTGTAGATACCTTAATCTAATCGTCATAAACAGTTTCCACAATCCGGACATCTCGCATTGACTACCTCCTTCATCACTTCCTACGTCGCGGACCTGTTTCCTTCCCTTCCAATAGCATTTTAGGATTGCAGATACTGTACCTTAATCTAATCGTCATAAACAGTTCCCACACTCTGGACAGCTCACCTTGACTACTTCCTTCACCATTTCCTACGTCGTGGACCTGTTTTCCCCCCTTTCCATAGCATTTTAGGAATGCAGATACCTAAATCTAATCGTCATATAAACAGTTTCCACACTCCAGACGGTTCACCTTTACAACTCCCTTCACCACTTCCTACGTCACGGACCTCAAGCTAGTGTCGTCATTTTATTATATTTATGTTCCATACCGTTTCTGTCCTAATATCTGTGGACAATGCTATCAGCTATTTCTTTATCTACTACATTCAAAAGTCAACAGCTGATCATATGTCTTTGTTTATGTGTCAAATACTGCTTCCATAAGGATTACATTGAAACTTTCAGACCCAGTGGGGCGGATTACTGAGATACTTTTTTTAACGCCATATGCACTCACCGATGTGGTCTTTATCACCATGCAAAATTTGAAAACGATTGATTCAGCCGTCTAGGAGGAGTTTGCGTATTACGAAATGCATTAGAGTCGACGTATAAGAGCTTCGCTCGCTCCGCTCAAAAATATACTAAACAATATTTTCAAATCAGCTGGTATTATTAGACTTGGCAAAAACGCGCGATCTTCATTGGCTCCTTCGAAGTTACGTGGTAAATAAGCTCCTCCCTCAACTGCAGACTCTTGTGGACCGTACTATGATAAAATGAATTGAGGAATACCTGTAAACTGTCCCAAAACATCTTGCTGTACTTAGTAAGGATTCCAGCTGCTATGCATGTGAACATTTCGGACAGAATGTCAACCAGCACTTGAGAAGGTAATCTGTTGAAATAACAGTCAAGATCATATTCCATTGACATTATACACTGTCTTTGACTAATCTTACTAGTCTACTTTAAAAATATCTCGTGAAACAAAATAACATTCCAGTGTTAACATTTTATTTTTGTCACTGTAAAAAAGTTAATCTCAAGACACTACGTATTGGTTAACATTTACATGTCTTTAGTGATATACGTGTGTAGTGCCTTTTAAATATGGAAATATTTGTCTACTGAAAAGTAAGTCCTTCATATAATTGTGGATCGCCAATTTAGTAATAATACAAATTTCACAGATATTTTATTTTAGAACAGTGCCTATGAAAAAGTCTATGGCTTACTTTTAGTAAGGCTTAAATAGAGATATTTTATATTGGAATCAATTTTAAAGTTTTGCCAAAAAATAGAAACAGTCTCCAAAAAATTTATCTTAAGTTATTCAATGCATTTAATAATAAAAGAGCATCTGATCTTAGTGGGTAAACCTGACAGATAAAAGAGTGTGATTGTCTAAGACAAGGCCAAACAAATAATCTTTACCCTGTTGTTGAAGCACAAACTTTTCTGATACACAATAAAGTTCATGATCGTGTTTGCTTAAATGTAGAGAAGATAATCTTGATTCCAGTTCACAACGAAACCAGAGTCAAAATAAATAAGAAAAACTGCATTTAAACTTGTATTGGTAACTTAGGTGTGTATTTTTAAAATCTAAACTAGATGAAAGATTAGGTATTCATTCTTGATAGGGGGCTCTAGGCTAGAATAGATTTTTTTATGGGCAGGGCAGGCTTACATGTAGTCCTACAGTGGGTGTCTTTTCAATAAAAAAACATATTGATATACATACCCAAAATTGAAATATTTTATGCTCTGAACACTTTGTCAATCACAAAAAAGGGAAGAAAAAGATGAAGATTCCAAATAAAAGATTAGTTACTTAATCTTTACAGGATTTTTACAACATCATAAAAGCTTGATTGTGTGCAGTAATCCTAATGAATTACCCATCATCCTCCAGGGACTGAAGCAGAAACTGCAGCCAGGACTGAGCACAGTTGTGGAACTGACCCTGGACACCTCTGACCACCTCAAACAGAAGCTTGCCACAGCCAGAAACCCCCTGGAACCAATAATGAAGATTTGGTGAGCAGAAAGATTTATGAAAAACTTAGATCACGTTTTGCAAAGATCTATGTTTAGGTAAAGCTATGTAGCAAAACATTTAACATATATGCAAAGTTCTTTACCATAATGACTTTATTGACAGATTGAGATTGGATTAAACTGAAAAATGGTGTAAAAACTAGAAAAAATGTATACTCTTCAAATATTCTGTAGGCTAGATAATCTCAAAAAAATAGAACAGCCTTCACAGTAATTCCTCGGGGAGATACTCACGTCATTTGATTTGATAACTGATTTCAACACAAGTTTTAAGAAGTTTCTCTTATCCTTCACTTTTCTTGCAACATAAGCGAAACTTTCAGCAGCAAAGTTGTTTATACACTGGGGCCTCGAAGAGCTCAGAAGAGGAAGGAGTTGCTCAAAAACAATATTCAAATCTCTAACTAAGAACCTCCAAAGATATTTAAATAAATATGCAAGACAAGTAAAAGTCCATTCAAGTTGGTCGGTGTCTTTGGTATTCAAAAGATTCAATATTTTTGTGAGCAAATTTGAGTAAAATGGATAAAACTCTTGTCTCAAGTCCTGTGCTAGAGCCACGATCAATCTGAAACATAATAAAATCAACTTTAAACACATTTAATAGAGCTTGAGATTCTCTTAGTATAAAAAATCAAATAAAATATCAAGTGGCACTATTATGATTGCAATGAGGCACGTGCAATGGTAAAACTGTCCAGAACACTTAATAAGTTAAGTACGGTAAGAGTAGCAGGAAGTCATAGATTCTGTGATGTTGCTATTCTTTGGGTATGTTGACTATCTAGGCATGTGTTTAGTATTAACTGTGCTTTAAAAACGGTGACTGATGTTCTGTTGAGTGATTCAATTCTGTAGAATAGTACCAGTCCATCCGTTCTTTTATTCTCTTTTGCCAGACAGATTGACAAAATTATTGAGTACAAAATGTTTAAGGGAGTCTCATGCTAACTAGTGGAAAAACTGTAACTGAAAATTACTTTATATTTAAACTTTATATATTACTTTATTTAAAGTTAACAATAATAGAGCTGTTAGCTTACAATACAATGGGCCCAGCTGTCCTTGATCGTTGGTCTTTTAGTGAATGGTCCTGGCTAATGAAACAGCTGATCTTAGTCAGTAACAAAGCTGCACAAGGCATCTCACTTCATTCTACACTCATCCTTCACACATATTTGGGTTAAAATTCGCACCTAGGTTGTGTCCCCATCTCGACTGTTAATAATAATAATAATCTATACTTATAAACAAGGCAGTAGAGTTGAATCTGTTATCAACAATTAATTTTTTTTAACACCAGCAACACAGAGTATGATCTATACTTATGATATAAGGCTATTAGTAAAAATGTAGTCTGAAATTATTTTGGAAATAAAGTTTTAAACCATACAGGCAAGTATAAGTTATGGTTAGAAAACTCAATGTTGTTTTAAAAATTCAAAATCTCTAATTTAACATAGTGGACCAAGCCTAATGATCCTAGGTGTTAAACTGCTTAGTGAAAAACTTTAAGTACCTATTATAAGTTTTGTACTGTGACAAGTACTCACTCAAGACATGGTTGTAAGGAAAATGAATCAGCCTGTTCTAGTGATTCAGATAAAACTGAAACAATCCTCTCTTTCTGAGCCAGTAACTGAGGCAATGTTTGCACGTCATATCCAATTTTCTTCTTCAAAGCTTCATAGCTTTTAGCAAGGTTGAGGTCATTGCATTTTTGCAATGTTTTTTGAAAATATGTTACACTGTCTTCTTCGTCAGTTTCATTCAAATGACCCACACGGTGAAATACATCAACATCAATGCTGGCTATCCGTTCGGAGAATGGCTGGAACTGAAAAGGAAAAAGCAATAAAAAAATAATGTTTTTAATAACTGTACTACTTAGGCCTAACTTGTTTGTAGTTTGAATGGGAAAATATCCGTAACAGGCATATGAAATGATGTCTTGTAAGTTAAAGGTCCTAATGATGCTTATCTCATCTCTAAGTTTTTATTATACAGACTAGTTTGATTTATATAAGTTAAATCATGCACAAAAAGACAGAAAAGGTACTCTTACAGCAACAACTTTTTTGATTTGTAAAGTTATATTTTAAGGCGACTTATCAATTTTGGTGCTAGCCAAATTAAACAGCAAAACTTTCATAGGTACACAATTGTGTTATTGATAATAATTATAATTGATAGGCCTAACTTGAGTAATAAAATAAATAAGTTATTTTAAAATAAAATAAAATAAGTTTTTTTACTTATCTTTATATAGGTACCCTATATAATAGTGTTATTCTGCATGGTGTTTGAGCATGTTATTGAGCGAAGCTCACTTTCCCTCACTTTGTAACTTCTTTGTAAGAGCATCAGAATGTAGGCTAATGGCTTGACCAATTGATATGAAATTTGGCCAACAGCTAAAGAATACTGAGCACAATGTTTAGGTAAAAAATATTTGCAAATTTCCTTCTGGATTTTATTTTACGGGTCACGCAATTTCGCTTGTTATTTTAATGTAAGTTGAAAGAAAAATTATATTGGGTTTATGACATAGGTATGGGTTTATCTCGTTTCATTTAAATAAGATAAACATATGTTAATTGTTCGTAACTGTTTTGTTTACATTTCAATACTTTCATCCTAGGTTAAAGTTGGAATGTAACAGTTTATCAATGGAAGTAACAGTTTTGCTATAGGCCTATTTGTTTTGAGCATGCCTCAAAGGCCACGTCGTAATATTGGTCGTCGCACCAATAATGCAAATATTGTAAGAGAGTGGCGTCGTGAACAAGAAGAACCAGATGAAGCAGTGGTGGAAGAAGCTGATAATGATAGGCAGTTAGCTAATCAATTCCAACATGAATTAGATGCACTAAAATTTTACACTTGCACTAACTGTCATCGCCAACAACTAACAGCTTCAAACCAATCACCGATTTGTTCGCGTTGTCGTTCAAATGCAACTAAATTCACGGCGTTAAATAATATGGATGTGTCAAGTGTCCCAAACGAATTAACTGACCTGTCGATTGATGTTGATTGCACGAGTACATCCCGCTATGCGCATTTACAAAGTACAAGCAAATGGTCAGGCTTTTATCAATTCTTATTCTTAACTAAATAAAAGAACTATCAGATAAATTTGTCATTCTTTAGAACTTAAATAATATCGGGCAAACAAACGGTGAATCTGTTGAAAGGGAACATAACTTATTGTAGGTTGTTAGCTGCTTTAGACCTTGACAATCTTTAAATAATGCTTCGCTCATTTATGCGTCTAAAGTGTAACGGCAGACCACCCTAGTTATTTTATTATTATGGACTGACCATTGTACGTCAAGAGGACCCAAGAGGATTGTAGTTTGTTACCGTACCTAATTTCTGACCTAGCCTATTACTTGAATGTTGAATGGCCCAATAAAATTTTGATTTTAATTTGATTTGATTATAGGATAGGACTATAGCAAGTTTTGGGGGTGCCAAGTATGGCTTTTGGTACAGAAGATACACGTCCGGTAATCGGACGTGGATTAAGCGTCCGGCAATGACGTCACCGGATTGTGGGGGCTCCTGAACGGCATTTTCACAACGATACGATGTACATCCATCAGTGTTCGTGGTGTAGTGGATAGAGTGCTCGGCTGATATGCAAGTGGTCCCTGGTTCGAATTCCATCGGTAACTTTAACTTTTTGTCAAAGATTTTGCTTAGAAGCCTGCACTTTACTTGACATCCTACACTCATTTGAATGAAAATATCGATTGATATATCGATTAATCGATTGCTTCATTCGATGTATCGTTTGGTTAGTTAGGTAAGGTTAACCTAACCTAACTAACCAAAAGATATATCGAATGAAAGAATCGAATGAAAATATCGAATCGAAAAAACCAATCGAATGAGTGTAGGACGTCAAGTAAAGAGCAGCCGCTTTGAATGCCATTTCTTCTTAACTGTACTACATCTTTTGTTAGAATTTTTTGCATAATTTTATTTTATCCTTTGTGCTTGGTAAAATTAAGGTTGGTTATTGATTGAATCAATAACTTAGGCCTAAGTTATACTTATTAACTTACCTCTCCATTAAAGTTTAATTCAAACCCAAAATAAATAAAAATGAGTGCGGTTTTTTAGATTAAATTTGGACAAACGCTGATACCCGACGCCGATTAGCAAAATATAAAAGTATCCTTTTTGGTAGACTTTCATAGGCGATATCCCAAACAACCGAATGAAAATATCAAACTTAAATAAGTATAAGTACAGTAGGCCTAACTTATATAGATGTATCAATTGCGCCTGTACCCCCTAGGTGTATCAAATTTTTGCCAACTATTAACTATTCTTAATTGAATTGCTATTAAAATTATCTTAATATTTTTGAAAATAATATAAACTTGCCTTAAACGTGTTCGAATCCTTATGACGTAGTGGTTTGTTCTTCATTTTTATATTGAACTGTCATTCAGTTTTTGGCAACCCTTTACATTTATAAAACAAATAATAATTTCCAAAGCTGTCCAACTTAATTTTGTTCAAATTAAGTAAAATGACAATATGTAGCTTAAATCCCTTTTTATTTTATCCTGACATTTTCACACTGCTGAGCGAGTTGAGTAAACACACATGTCTTAACCTAAAAACCCTGCTGCAGCTCGCAGACGCAGATGCAGCTGCTGTATTGTATATTTACTTTTTAGCAAGCTATGTTTACTAAACATGGAGCTGCATAAGTGAGAGTGTCATGCAGCGTTGAGTATGGAACACCACGTAAAATGACATTTATGTAGTCAATGTAATACTACACAACTTTTCCACATGTATTTTAAAAGTTATTAATTGTATTTGAGAATCATTACTTGTATTTGAGAAAATATCGAATGTAAATTAGATTAGTTAGTTGAATTTGATAAAATGAAAAATGTATTTGAGAATAGTCAATTGTATTTGAGGAAGTATCTTATGGAATTGAGAAATCGTACATTTTATTTCAGAATTGTAACCCGCGGGCTTTGCCCCGTTTAACTTCTTAATTTTCAAGATTATCTCGTTCGCATGGCTCAATCACGTCCTGGTTGAAGTTTGTTCGCTACGCTCACTCACCTTTAGGTTGGAGCTCGTTCGCTGCGCTCACTTGCCTTCAGGTTAGCTCGTTCGCTACGCTAACTCGCCTCCATGTTGAAGTTCGTTCGCTACGCTCACTCACCTTTTGGTTGCAAATTAGCTGTTGTCATAAATGTAAAAGAAATAATAGTGCTGCACCCTGTTGGTAATCCTTGTAACTTTAATGCTATTGAACATCATAAAACAGAACCAACTTGTTTAATTGAAACAGCTGTTAAGATTCAATAATTCCATTTCTCATAAGGTTATCATGGGAAACTCCAGAATGGGATCACGAAATTGATGGTGTATAAACCTATTCCATGAAATCTATATATCTAATTCCGTAAGCCCAAAATTTTACAATGAAATTGTGAGGTAACGGGAGGTCGTAGAAAGCTGGGAGAGGTCTCATTTTAAGGGTCTGGTCATGAAATTTTGGGGAAAATTATTCATTTTTCTTATTTATACACCAAAAGGTTGTTACGGAATAAAATAATTCACATTAAAATAGCATGGGAATCTAGGTCATGTCTGCTTTGTTTACTTTAAAACATATGGTTTAACTTTATTTAAAACATATGGTAATATCATTAATATGTAATATGTAATGTATGTATATTAACCCTGCAGAGAGGTTGAAAATACCTATCGACTATATAAATTCAATTACACTATCTGGAATGCCACCACACAAATTAGTTTTAAAAGTTGTTTTAATATTGATGCTCATAAGAAATATGAACCTAGGGTCTGGATTAGTTAATGGAGTACGATTGGTTGTATTAGGTATGTCTGAAAAAGGTGTAAAGTTAGTAGTAATTACTGAAGTAAGCAAAGGGAACATATTTTTCATGCCAAAAATAATAACTTATAATGGTATGTAATAACTATTATACATATTATAATATTAAAAATGTTAAACGATAATCAAGGTAGGGTGCCATGAGACTAATAATTTGTATAAAATAATTACTAGAATATATACATAGGGGCTATTGCCCCTACAAGCCACTAGTTCTACACTATGTACCAAGTTTCGTGGCAATCGGTTCAGCGGTGTCTGAGTTTATCACTGCCAAACAAATATATATATATATATATACAAACATCCTCTTTTATACTTATAGATAGATGATCATATAATTTAGAATGTTAAGTAATGCTGTTAGATATAAATGTTAACTGTCCTATCTTTTTAGGATGGATTTTAAAATGCACTTACTATTAATTTAGTTATTTCACGGCCGCCTTTAACTTGGGTCCAGTTTACGCTAGGCTCACGGGACGCTCCATGACGCACATTCTATTTGCTCTTAGGTGTGACGTCGGACTCTTCTCTTGAGGGAACGCCATTTCCGCAACGATACGGTTGAGCCACGAGTCTCGGTGCATTAGGTACATTAAGTAGTGTATACAGGACCGGGCTGTTGACCTAAAGGTAGCCGGATCGAATCCTAGCGGAGGCATTAACTTTTTGTCATGGATTTAGCTTAGAATGCGATTACTTATTAACACACCTTTTGATAGAATTTAAAGCATTAATAATTTTATTTTATGAACAGAACTATTTTTTCGATTAGTAAATCTTCATTCGATTTTTTAATTATCAGCAAGTTTTAGGTTATGGCAGTTAAATTTTATAATAAAAAAATTATAAAATTATTTTTTTTATTTTTCTTAATTGTATAATGAAGTATTACGTCATGGATCTAAGGACCATTAATATGACGTCACGGATGACTCCCGCGAGCCTGTCCGGAACGGAGTTAAAGGTAGCCGTGGTTATTTACTAAGGTGTATTTTATCATTTACTATAATATATTCCTTTGGTCTATTTTTTTAGTCTATGATATTATACCTTTGTAGAAAAAAACAATACCTATATTATGTTATAGATGATTCTTTTGATTTGGTTAAATAGCCCAACAAATAAATAAAAAAAAATCATTACTCACTCTGCAAACCGTACATAAAAATACCATAAGTCACAAGTCTCCACTTGATCCAAAGAGGATGACAAATGACAAATCATTGATGTTTTTATTCGTGGTATTAACTATGGTGGTGCCATCGATTAAATGTATTGGAGCCCAAAAAAACTAAATAGTTCTCATTTGATACACACGGTATAAATTTTAAAATATACAGGGTGTTTTTTTAAAAACTTGCATCTTTATTTATGTAAAAACCGCTATAGATAGAAATATGCAGTTTGCGGGAATCATCTATTGACGTAGGGGGCCCAATTGTTTTGAATTCAACGTTACATTCACATTCCCCCCCTTTCCCCCCCTGCCCCCAACTTATTTTTTTTAAATAGCAAGTTACCGCTTGTGACATATCAAATGAAAGAGCATGAAAAAAGAAAATGTTTGATGAAAAAAAATTAAAAATCGGTTTATAAATTTGCGAGATATTTCCCCCCCCCCCATTCCCCGGAATTTGATTTTTTGTAATAGCAAAGTACCCCTTGTGACATATCAAATGAAAGAGCATGAAAAAAAATTTTTGGCGAAATTTATTTTTCATTTGATATGTCACAAGGGCGGTTACCTTGCTATTAAAAAACAACTGATGGGTAGGGGAAAAGGGGGGGGGGATTATCTCACAAATTCATGAGCCGATTTTAATTTTTTTTTTCACCAAAAAATTTATTTTTTCATGCTCTTTCATTTGATATGTCACAAGGGGTACTTTACTATTAAAAAAATAAAATTCCGGGGAATGGGGGGGGGGAAATATCTCGCAAATTTATGAACCGATTTTTAATTTTTTTTCACCAAACATTTTCTTTTTTCATGCTCTTTCATTTGATATGTCACAAGCGGTAACTTGCTATTTAAAAAAAATAAGTTGGGGGCAGGGGGGGAAAGGGGGGGAATGTGAATGTAACGTTGAATTCAAAACAATTGGGCCCCCTACGTCAATAGATGATTCCCGCAAACTGCATATTTCTATCTATTGCGGTTTTTACATAAATAAAGATGCAAGTTTTAAAAAAAACACCCTGTATATACTGGTACTTCAACATAATGTTATACTCTTGTACTTTTAATTGCATACTCTTTGTCAGACCTTCCAGATCACGTGATGCATTTGTGATCCAACAATGAAAGGATGAAGTTCATTGATATTTCGTCCACATTCTCTGCCTCTAGTTAGGCCTATTCAAGTCAGCTGTCTCTGTCTCACTTGTGCAGCTCTGTGATATCAGACAACCTTGTCTTGTGAACTGTATTATATAATTTTCCGCTTCCTCTGTGATCACGTTATGTTTTGAATTTAAATAATGAATTTGTTGTAAATTAAATATATTTCCAGAGTGTAAGTGAATGTATTATATTTATATATTTGTACAGATTAGTTTTCAATTATGCCTGGGATATCATTTTTTCTGGTAATATTACTATGTTGTCTACTTCTTCTTTACATAATAATAGGAAAAACAAGACCACCTATGTTTCCTCCAGGTAAGTAATTCTTTTATAGATTTATTTATTTCTAATCAGTTAGGGCTACTTTGCACTAAATTTATTGTTAGTAGCCTATTTCAGTTCTCTAAAACTGAAAATAGGCTAAAATATATAACCATATATTATCATTCATGTGAATTATGTAATGGTACAGTATTTGGTATTTTGTTCAAATATACTGTTAAAACTATAGTTAATATTTGTATAGGATAACTTTAAATTATCTCTTGTTTAATGTAATTCAAGCAGAGCAACAGACTTATCTAAATTACTGACATTATTTCTATCATTCTTGATTTGTTATTATTATTATTATGCAACTCACTATCCAGATTCAAACCTGTTGGTTGTATACTCACATTCCTTGTATTAAAATCACTTTAAAGTAGAAAAAGGTACCACCATCACTGAAGTCACTGAAGGAAAAACCGCTGAAAACACAGCTTCACAAGCGACTGATAGACAGACCTGCTTACTCCTTGAAGGAATTCCTCGAATCCCATCTACATCAATAACTTGCACTGAATTTCACAGCATATTGTTTAACACTTGCATTAAAATAACAATTTTTCACAGTCTTCTCCTAAACACTGTTTCTTGCAATTTCACAATCCATCCATGTACTAAGCCATAAAATACTAGTTTTAAGTTATATTATTGTATGACGCCATTGTAATTTCTTGATGAAACTACAAATAAAGAATATTTTGATTTGATTGATTAAAAACAGCTGTTTAAAAATAAAATTTAAAATTACACAATTGATATTATAATAAGTTATCAGCTGTAATTAATTACTCATTAACATACACTATTTTCAATAACATCAAAGTTAGATCCCTAACTCTAATACTTTTTTAGAAAAGTGTACCTTTCAGGTTTAAAAAATTAAAATGGGATAGATAGGCGGGGGCCCCTTTAAAGCTGTCACCGGTTTTCAAACAAAATTGTCATAGTTGATGTGAGCCAACTAAGGGTACAGTTTATAGCGGAATCCGAACCAAATTTTTGCC